ACATTTTAAAGCAAACACTTACCCGTTTCCTCTGCCACAGTGTGGGAGCTAGGCTGTTCCAACTCCTCAGGCTGACCAGCCGAATCTTTAGCCACTGTAACATTATGGAGCTTGTTATCTCCTGTGCTGAGGGCTCCCCCCCGTCCGCCTATAGGCAGACAGAGAAAGTCCCCAGACCTGTATGGGTTCACTATGCACATCCTCTCCCGAGTCCCTAAGGAGCGCAAGTGCCCCCATGTCCCCCACACTCAGACATTGACCCAGTGCAGAGTATGTGCGGACAATAGTGTGGAGGGCTCTCCCCCACTGCCCCCAGGCAGGCGAGGCGAGCACTCCAGCCCCGTAAGGGCCCAGTGCGCACTACGTCCCCCGCGACCCTCCAGGGGGCCCAGAAAAAACGTAAGCGCATTTACGTCCGGGGAGGGGGTCAGATGCACACTGAATAATATATTGTAGGGCCATACCTATATAAAACATGTCTGTGAATTTTTTTTTTCAAAATTCCAAACAGATCGGGGGGTTACGGATTGTAACCCTAGTTATAAGCACTATTATAAGCACAGACAGAGCCCTCTACTGGACTCTATGGGTACTACTCTCTATCATGCTGTGCGTGCTTTCACCTACTGAGTTACGTAAACGTAGCCGGCCAATCGGGGCGAGCCTACCTGAATGCGCGCGCAGGCCCACTGTATATAAGGCGGCTATGCCCTCCGCCCGCTATCCTACACACTCTTCAGCGAGCGGACAAGGAAAGACAGGGCCCCCAGGTAGAGGGCTCCGCCTGTGCTTATATAACTAGGGTTACAATACGTAACCCCCTGTTATATTTCACACAGGCTCCACCCTCTACTGGACTCTATGGGTACAGTGGGTGGAGCCCCGATGTATAAACGCCCTGTTGTACAACAACATCGACCCACCACACCGTCCCTGACCAGCTTTTGGCTAACATCCAATGCATCCCCTCTTCCTCCCATCCGGTTGTAACCATGGAGAAGTCGGGGCCGCAACTTGGATAAGGCACACTCACACACGCTTACCTCGTGTAGAGTGTGTGCATGAAGAATTGTGCGGAGACTCCGTCTGGAGCCTACCGCGCACCATGTTCCCCAGGTCCCTCAGGAGCATGGGAAAACATAAGTGCACCACGTCTCCCACACTCACACACGCTCCGTGTAGACTAGGCATGGACAATAGTGAGGAAGGCTCTCCCAGCCCTGTATGGGGCTGATTGCGCACCATGTCTCCCGAGTCCCTTAGGAGCATGGGAAAACACAAGTGCTTTATGTCCAGGGGGGGTCCTACTGACCCACAGCCACCCCCCCTCTCACCAGTCATGCGTTGCCTCGGCAAGCACAGACGACGAGAAGGAGCCTGACATGTCCAGGAGATAACATTTTATGAAAGAGCCTGGCGTAGACCAAGACGCCGCCGTCCATATATCTTCTACACTCACGCCGCTGAATAACGCTGTTGCCACAGCCCGTGTNTTTGAGGTCTGCGGCCCTCAGTGATAGGTGATGGGCTTCGAATTCAGGGGGAGAGCAAAGTTCGAGTCCCACTGCAGTCAGCATGTCGTTGTGTCCCTGAAGACACTTCACCCCAAATTGCTCCTGTGGGGATTGCCCACAGTATTGAGTATGTAAATCGCTTTGGATAAAAGCGTCTAACAAGTAACATGTAATGTAATGTTTGTTTAATTGAGGTGAACATGGTTGCCATTTCTGAAACACTGTGTATAATTCAATGGTTTGACATTTTTAAAATGTAACGTATTTTTTGGTTCCCAACTAATTGGGGATATAATTATATATCATATGAAACTATTTTGGGATGAGGGGTTTGTAGAAAGCTTTTTTTAAACAATTTGATGTGTGATAGTTTTACAATCTGTTGGGAAAATGGAAGAAGAATACCGGTTCAAAGCAGTATTCAATGTTTAGTTCAGATTAGCTCAGGCCTGCGTAAGCCATAAACATGACAGTCATATGCCTGTCTCCATAGATGCTGAATCATCATGTTAATCGTTGTCACATAGCTATCATATTCCTAAAACAGTCCTGACGCTCTTCTAGGTAATCTTACATCCTGTTACGCACACAGCTACGTAGGACCTTTGTTATCATGTGCTACTCTGATATTAGAAGAGTACATTCAGTATTTTCCTAACACAATCTTAACGGTCTAGCTGTGCGAGATGGTTCAATCTTCTTAAGAACAGCTCTGAGTAGATTCTATAATAGGAAAAACATGTTTACAAATGTTAGGAGAGCTGCCAAAGTAGGGGTATCTAAACGTTTATATGTTTAGATTAAAAGCATTAGAAATATATTAGTCAGTTAATATTCATGCAAAGTCATGCCACTGTGCCTCCAGGGAAGAAAGGAAATCTCCTTTAGGCGAAGACAGAATACTTTCTATCCGTTTAATTCTCTGAGCTGTCAGCACTGCCTTAAAAACAAGATTGCTTCTTATCTCCCGTAGTAAAAGGGTATAGGATGTTTGACGTTTTAATATATTGTACATACTGTTTAGCAGAGAAGCCAAACAAACAAAGTCCAGATTTGGCTAGAGGGTGACGACTCAAAAGAGAGTTTTCAGCAGAAAAGAAAAACGGAAGATGTTGTCCTCCTTTTCCTGCCTATTCTTCTACAAATAGCAGATTCTTTGGAGTCATTGGGTTGAATGATATGAAAGATATTGAAAAGACACAAGATTTTCTGATAAAAACAGCAGGATTTTCATAAAAATATAAATAGGAAATGCAAAAAACACTCAAATCCCATAAAAGGAGGCGGGTGTTACTAATGCTGCTAAAAACAGACCTTTCAGTAAAAGAAACTGTGAATTTTCAATAACAAATAGAATTTATACTAAAATACTGTTAAAAAAGATTTGCCCTACTTGTCGCGTTTACAATGCTGTATTGATTTTGGGTCATTTGTTATTCCAAAGTTGTGTCTAAAGTTTTAGCTGTCGATGCAGGTCAGTCTAATCATCAGTTCAAACATTGAGAACTTTTCCCCAAAACTTAGAGACACACAGGGTCTCTGGAGAAACTTCAAAACAGAATATTCTGGAAAGCTGGTAGAGACGATCAGAAAAGCCCCCGGGGGAATTGTTTCTGATATGAAGTGCTGACAAAAACCCTACAGAGTAAACACGTAACGTCAGCATTCAGTCGGACAAACGGCCACAACATTTTCTCAGAGGCTTTGGAAAAGTCCACCAACACTGACTGGACTTCTAGGAGTAATGATTTATTACCAATTACTCACAGGCTTCTCTCTCGATTAAACATTTTTGTTTATAGCATTTTCAGAAAATAGTTTAAAACGCCTTTTGCAATTTCCCTGAGCTTCTCATGTGAAATACTATACAGCTTGTTTTACCAACAGTCCAAATACCCTAGTTCAAAACCAACCAAAGGAAGACTGCAAATCCTCTTTGGCCGGCATTTTAGCTGGTAAAAAATAGTTAATGAATGAAAGTTGATCAACAACAAATATTCCTACAGAAATAAGAGAATAGGTTGTGTTAAATAAAATGTTGTACACTATGTTTTTCTCACGCTGAATACCGACATTATTATGTTTAATGCGTTTTGAGTTCTGGATTTGGCAGGTAAACAAATGAGGGAAATAAAAGGAAATGCATTCTGCACTTCCTCTGTCAGCCACCAGAGGGCAGCGGGACTCCATGCTACAGAGACTTCAGTGATTGTAGATCTAAATCTGATTTGTTGTACAGAAACAAGTTCCTGCCTGCAGTAACGTCCTCGCTTCTTCATCTGTATTCATCTGTCAGCTGTCAGGAGATCTGCTCTTCCAACTACAGCGTTACGAGAGCTTTATTAACCAATGAAAAGCTGTTTAAGCAACACAAACACATCAACATACCTGTGGGAATGTAGCAACATAATGAAAGTGCAAGTGATTAATTTTGGACCCACACTACGTCATTACTTACTTGTATGAATACACAATGTGATTCACTGTTGATACTATACTAAGCTATATTCGGTTTACCCCTCCTGGTTAAAGAGACCCAACACTGATTGCTTTGCTTACGAGACACATTTCCCTTTTAGATATTTTCAGATCATATTCATCACATCTTATAGAGAGACTTTGTTTAGAACTTATTTACTTAAGTTAAACGATAAATAACCTCCCCTTAATCAAACTCAGTCCAGCTTTATGATTCTGTTGAGGAAATATTTTATAAAAGAATGTTACCAAACGTGTTTTTGTTTTGACATATTTTCTACATATGTCGTTTTTTGCCTTTTTTGGACATGTGTTGTTTTTCATATTTCTGACAGACTAAACTATTTCCAGTTTTTTTGCCTGTATTCGACGTACTATATTATGCTGTTTTTTTGTGAAGTTTGGACATGCTATACTACAGTATGTCTTTTTTTTGCATATATTCCAAATACTATACTATGTTGTTTTTTGCATATTTGCGAGATTCTACATTATTAGGTAAGCAAACGTAAAAAATGACGGCCTTTCATCAATACATCAGTATCATTTTTGAAGGCCTTCTTAATATCCATATATTATTAAGGTTCATTTTGTTTTTTGTTGAATAAAGTAAAGTGTTATCATTCATTGCTTTGATTGATTTACTCTTAAAGTATTAATGTAGTCTGATGATTTAAGCATTTTGTGTATGTGTTGTACTTTATGTCTTTGGTGTAAAGCACCTTGTAATCAATAGACGTTTTAATAAACTCTTTATTATATTCTACAGAAACCAATTGGTATTCCTACCTGGTTTGACAGATCTGTGTGGCCTTACCTTGTGTGTGTGTATTTTTAAAAGGAAAAAATAAAGGTTGAGATGTAAACATATGAATCTGAGGTGGGTCACTTTAAAAGCAGGTATAAAGAGAAGGTGAATAATGAACAGGGAGGCACCAGGTTTGTGGTCTACACGCTCTAAAAATGGACTAAAGGAGATATTTCTGGATGGTTTGTCCTCACCTGCACCAGCACCTTCACTCAGCTAGTCAGGCAGGACATGTGACACTTTAGACAGAGGTCACGGGGAAAGGTCAAGGACAGCAGGTACTTATACTGGAGAGTGTTTTGAGGGGGGGGGGTGCGGGGTGAACCCTCCACATCCTTCCATTAGCTGCTTTGAGCGTGCTCTTGGCAATCGGGACAGGTGTAAATCATCTCATGTGCATTTTGGCCCATCCAGAGTGCCGTCCCATTGGCGTCAGACTCTTGGGCCTTAAGAGAGCGATGCACCTTGGCACAGGAGCTGCTGCTCTCACACAGAGGGTGGCATGAAGGAAGCAAAAAAACGGAAATAATAATAAAAACGGAAATAATAATAAGACAAACAAAAACAAAAAATGGCTGGACGACAGGAAGGGAAGAGGAGCTTTGACTCAAAGTGGGTGAGGGTAAAGACTTTGGTTTCATGATGAGGATGATGACAATAGGGGTAAATAAACTCGTCAACTCACCAAGCTAGGTATATCATAGACACTATGAATATGAGGAGCACAAAGGCTCCGGCTGCTACACCATACACCCACATCTTCAGCTTCCCATCTGTGGAGAAGGAGGCTCGTCAGTTCTTCTGTCGGGGTGCACTCACAGCCATTAAAGGCTGCAACAACTCATTCATTTTGTACACTTGTGCTGCTATTTCCCAGAAACTATCTTTAAAAATACAACCCGCAATTTACACTGACATTTCATTGTATGATTCAGGTCGGAACAAAATAATTACTAGTACTTAAATATAGGTACAGTGAGCATTTACTGGAAAAAAATAAGGATGTTTTTGTGTAACTACGATGTACCAGTGTTGGCATGTAACCAATTACATGTAGTCACGCACTAAGCTTAAGTATAACTTAGATGAACTCAAACTTTGCGTGAGTAAACCCAAGTGCTATTTTATGCTACCTTGTACTTTCTCTTTTGTTCACCCACACTTGTTTTCACGTTGTAAGTTAATAAATACATTTATACATGATGATGTATTTGTATGGATTTAGATAGTGACTATATAAAGTAGTTCAAATGAACTCCATATTGATCAAGTCTTCAACACAATTAAAGTGGTGTACACATAAATGCATCGATATATTATTATTATTCTTCTACCAACCCTGCCAGGTACCATAGCTCTGATCAGGGTTCTCCTCTAAACACGACTTTTTTCAACTTATTTCTTATTGCTGCTTAAAATAAGAACTCTTTATTTCTTATTTTCTCCAAAATGCCAATTTGTAAATACAGTTATCTTGTTTTGCTCAGCTGTACCAACAGTAACGCACAAGTTGGAACTAGTACATATGTTATAGGTACCTGAGGCATACAAGAAAAAATGACATTGTAACAATTAAGTCTAACTTTTTCTTCTCTCAAAGCTCACCGTTATTAAGTAAAACAAGCATTTGGAAGACAAGCGGTACAAAGGTTACTGTATGAGATGGTGTCTGAGGTTCCTGCTCCTGACAGACGTTAATTGAGTCTGTTGTGCACTTTTGCATCCTTAGTGTTTATGTTGCTGTCATGCACCATCAGTCACAACAGTGTGTGCAGATGCAGCTCTCAAAGCTTAATGTAGCAGCAGTTCAGAGGTTCAAACATTCATCAGAACAGACGGGAAATATTGTTTTAATGAGTCAGTTTTATGTCATGCAAGACCAAATATGTTAAACCTGATGTTAATTAGATCTGTCGACACTAAGTCTGCCGAACATAGACTGGAAGTAAAGTGCATTCTGTTGCCGTCTTATGAAAACCTCTCAGCTTTATGACTTAACTTCACTTCATGGATTACACAGTGCTCTGCAGGTTGGAGAAATGTGGCTTCCTTAAACCTTTTCCCTTCAGATAAACTTAAAGGCACTTGTTTTTCTTATCCACTGCTGCAAGTTCAAATATTCCCAAAACAAGTTCCTGAAACTACCATACACAGTGATTCAAGTCGGGATTTCAAGTGGGGGATTAAGAAATGATGTGTGATTGTTTACTCACATTTATCTTGGCAGGGTGACAGTGTTTGTGCAAGTTGTTGCACATTTGTTGCCAATATAAGCTGATTTATAGCCATTAGCTAAATGGGATTTTCATCATTTTTTGGCTGTTGTAAGATTGATTTATTTGGGGAATGAACTTTGTCTTAATGTACTATTCAAAGGCTCTTATTTTCTGCCGGTTTTCAAATCCTAATAACTGAAACCACCAACAAAAAAAGAGTCCAACATGTTTTACTCTGACAATACAGTATTGTCAGAGTAACATTTCCCCAAACATAAAACATACAAAGTCCAAATCCTTCTGAACTTCCTCCACTTTTCTGACTTTTCTTTTGTTGGTGGTTTCTTTTATTAGGATTTGACAACCGCAGAGGTGGGAAGTAGTGGAGTACAAATACTTTGTTACTGTACTTAAGTACATTTTTCTGGTATCAATACTTTACTCCACTACTTTTTGACACTGATACTGACGACACAAATACCTGTACTTTCTACTTCTTGCATTTTCAAAACAGGCTTGTTCCTTTAGTTTTAATCTGTGTTTGGTGGCGTGATCATTATTATTTAGAGTCATTGCGTTCCTATTGATTTGAACACAATCCGTGTATCCATCATTTCCTGGTCTTTTCTAAAGAGGAGGGACCAATGAAAACGTTGTCATGTTGCCGTTGTTCAGCATGGAAACATTCATTAGCTAACAATGACATTATTGTTCTATGAATATAAAGGGAGGTCAGGTACTCTATAAAACAGTTGGTAGTTATGGGTAATTTTTACTTAAGTACATTTCAAAGCCCATACTTCTTTGCTGTTAATTGAGTAAAAATGTTTAGTCAGTACTTCTACTTTACCAGAGCATTTTTAAACATGAGTATCTGTACTTCTACTTGAGTAAAGGATGTGTGTACTCGTGCTATCTCTGGACAACCGGCAGAAAATAAGAGCCTTATAAGAGTACATTAAGGCAGGGTTTGCTCCCCAAAACATGACCGTTAAGAGATAAAAGGTTTTCACTTGACAGCAACAGAATAAAGTGAGTGCCTGTAGCCTGGTGGTCTGACCTGGTCCGTAGGGCTGCAGGTACCAGGTCCGCCCGCTGCGTCCTGGCTGGAGGGTGCTGGGCAGCGTGGGGTTAATGGCACGACTGGTCTTCACGTCCCCCTTCTTGTCCCCCGCTGTGGGGATCTCCAGGATTGGGATGGGGGCGCACTGATCCAGCTGCCCCACGGGGGACAGCACCTCTGTGAAGCCCTCCTCACACACGCACACAGCAGCCTGCAGGGGGCAGCGCAGCATCATGTTGTTACAGTACATCGAATCATGAAGGGGCTTGTCAGGATGGAAGTGAATGAATCGAAGGGTGCTTTTTGTTGTTGTGGAAGATGCCTTGGACATTGGTATAGAAAGGTTAATTAATATTGTTTACTGAGCATTAGCTTCAAGAAAGAGCAAGTCTGGGGACAGTATTTATTATAAATATAGCTGTTTCTGTCTTTTAGACTGCTATAAATGTGGTGAACAATTTTCTTTTAGAAATGTATTTCAGTATAACTCCTGCTATTCTTATTTGTATTTAACATGTTGTACCCAGCTTTAAAAGACTCACTGAGATAAAAAATATGTTTCTTCAATAGTGTCCTGACTAAGAAAGTCAGTGACACCGTTAGTGACATAAACATGACTTTAAAATAAATTAAAAAATATTTACATAATAATAAAAACATAAAAAAACATTGGACAACATTCAAAACCAGTCATTAAGAATCCCTTGAAATGCATCCAGAGAGACCAGCTCCAGAGGATTCAGGTGATTATGGAATCGATTACAAGCTGGAGGAGCCATATATTTAAATGTGCTTTTCCCATTTCAGTACAGACTTTCCTGGCAGTTAGTAGGAAGTGTCCTGAGAGCGAAGAAAAAAGCTTATTTTAGTTTTATATTAGATATTTAGAGCAGTCCAAGAACAGCCTTATACAAATATGCAAATAGTTAAGTCTACGGGGGTGTGAAAGACAGACCATCAAACCTGATTATAAAAGAGCACTGACGAGATCGGACTCTGAGTTTTGAAATAAATCTCAGTGCTCCATTGAAGACAGTATCTAGGGGATCTAGGCCTGCATGTATACAAATTGGCCATTGTCCAGCGCCGAAATACAGGTGGATGCAACAAATCGCCCTTAGGCCTTAAAGGAAAGCAAGATATGTTTCTAAAAGAAAAAACCTCAGAAATCATCAATTATAGTTCCTAGAAACTTGTATACATACTCCTTCATTACCATATAGTTGATACACGTCTCTCTTAAACAGTAAGTATAAAAAAATATATCCTTAATGAAGGTATGATGCAATGCAGGACTGTTGTATTAGGCTGCATGTGTTTCGGTTTATTTAACTGTGTAGGGAAGATCAGGCTGGTCCTAAGTGTGCTTCTCATCAGATGATTTGTTTATTATGTAGTGACTAGGTCTGTTGGGTGATAACAACACAAGGTCCAAATCAGTTTGAAAAAGATATACAAAAAGATAAACTTTGAGACAGGCCATCTGCTGAATCTGGATAATCTAAAACGTATTGTCCTGATTTCTATGCAGCGGAGGTGAGTGACACTAAGGGAAAATGGGTTTTACATCTTCATGCTGCCATCATTTTATTCCCTGCTGCATTCAAATTCAATTCTGGCAGCAGAGTGTCAGAACGAGTAGAGACACTGCCATTCATCCAGAGAACCTGTGCTTTCATATATACGTCGTTCTTATTGTTTTTATTCAGTTTACCCTGTTTTTTATTGTGCATTTTTGTCTGTAAACCACATTTTTCTCTACGAGATTTTCTTTTTCATTTTTTTTCTATATGCAGTCAAAACTGCAGATATGAGAACAAAGAGCTGCTCACCTCACTGCAGAAAGACTTGGGCATGAGGCAGAGAGGGTCACAGGAGCTGTTATCCACTGGAGGGTTCATAGGAGGGCAACCTCCTGTGGGTAAGAACACAATCAAATCAGGCAGAGTAAATGTTGTTTGAGAGGAACACAACATCAACATTATCTGTGTGTCCTGCCAGATATCCTGCCTTTGTGACCTCAAGTAATACCATTTTATTTTTCATTTTAAACACAGCGTATGTTTGGATATAAATGTAGGTTGATGTTGCCAGGTTTATTTTTGAAACCATTGAAAGTAGGAAACCACATGTTTGTGTGTGCAGAGATGACGGGCTGTACAGGCAGACATCGCCCACCACCTTCGCTCCATATAGAAATAGGCCCCTTGTTTTCTTTCCAAAGAGTGTTATATTTCTGACATGTGTTGCGTCAATTCTTCCTCCTACATAAACCTGCCACTTACTGATGGGGACAAACTGTTGAGCTGCAGACTGCTGCAACATGTCAGTGTTTCACTTTCAGATACATTTAAACTCATCAGCTCCAAATATTATCGGTTGATGTTTCCAAAATCATTTCACTCTTTCTACATAAACAAAGATCTACTTACAGCCCCTCATGTCTAGTCATGTGTCTGCAGACTCTATCCAGTTCAACCCATATAAACCACTTTGAAACCATACAACCCATATTTATTTAGCTTTTCTCTGGTTTTTGGAATACTTTTCAGAGCTGAAACAATACATTGGTTAGTCAATCGACACAGAGAACAATGTATTAACTACTTTAAGTCCTTTTTATATTTGCTAGTTTCTAAAGCTAGTATGATAAAGATATTTGACTGAATATCTGGGGTTTTTGGTTACTGTTGCTCTGACAAAAAGAGCACATTTAAGGTCTTTGGGTTCGGGCTTTAGGCTTCTTTTTCAGTATTCATGAACCAAATCAATAAATAGAGAGTATCCGAAAAGGTAAAATCATCAAGCAGTTGAAATGAATAAAGTGCAAACATTAGAGTAAGGTCTGATCAAACCTGCTCTTGTGGGAAGAAACACGTTTTCTTTACTCTCCTATCTTGTTAATCATGTAATCATATTTAAATGCACCAGGTTTATTTAAGTAAGTTGTGCAGAACCAGTAACTTAAAAAAAAAACGTGTTTAATGTACTATAATACAAGCTCCATCGTGACACTCAGAGTTCCTTACCGGTGACATTGAGTCCATCGGAGCGCTGGCACCAGATAGAGGGGCGGGTGGAGTTTTGACGGCCGCCGCTGAACCATTTGTACTCGTAACATTGGCCCCCTGAGAGAGAAATAAAAAGCAATCAACATCTATAGAGACTGTATAGTGGGAGTCTGCAGTGAAGACCATTAATCAGAAGAGTGACGGATTAATAAAGCAGCTGCTAAGTTATGGTTCTATAATAGGCTGCTGTCATATAATATCACTATCAGCGTGTCCTCACAGAGAGGTCCAGTTCAATGTTTTAATCTTCAGTAAGAGCTTTTGCTTAATGACTTTCTATCAATGCTATTACGACTTTATCAATACCTCCATCAGTGCAGTAAATGACCATATTTCCCTATGGAGTCCTGTGTAACCAATCATCTGTCCAGGCCTTTCGGCTTGGTAAATGAACAATTTAACCTTGAACAAAGGAAATATCTGTTCTCAATCGGCTTGGGTACAGTATCAAAGCTCCAGTCGATGGCTGGGCTCTATCTGCAGCTTTCACAGGACGATTTGTCTGCCGCTGCGACAACTTCACCCTTTATGTTCTTCACTTTTCTCATTCCTCTGCCTTTTTGTGCTTTGGTACAGCAAAGGCAATTTCTCCAATAAGTTAACGTATCATTGAATCACTCACTTCAGCCAGCACTTCCCACCATCTTTACGAGCAGAATAGAGTTTTACTATTGTTGAAATATTTCTCAGAGGACCAGACGCTCTGGAAGCAGAGATAATGTCACTAGTTAGCCCCCTTTAAAATCACATACCATAATGAAAGCCTCTGTTAAAGAATAGATGGCTATTTTTAAGTCTATAAACCAACAGCAGATTTGTGTTGGCTTTACCTTCCATTATCCCTGATTCCACGGTCACTAATCGGTGAAAACACATTTGCTATTCAGTTTATGCGGTGAGGGACTGTTCAAAAATGGACTGAGAGGGGTTTGACTTTATTATTCACCCTTTAGCCAAGCGAGCACCACCAGCAGCTCAACGATTACTTATTATCCAGGGGAATACTTCAACATCTAGAGGTGGATTGCCAAAACATGTTCTGCATATACTGTAAGTGTACGATTCAAAGAAAACAATATACCTGCTAATTATGATATCAGCACAATTAAATTGTCATTGTTAGCTGTTTAGCATTTAGCTCAAAGCAGCACTGTGCCAAAGTACAGCCGCTAGTGTGGCTGTAGAGCCTTCCAAAGAGATATTCACATTTCTCTCACTTTGGATTGAGAAATACAGTATTTATCCCTTACCTAAGAAAAAAAAGGTTTTTTATTAAATTCATTTTTTTTTCTCCTCATCTACCCCTCCCTAAGCTCTCTTGTCCTCGATATGAACTAATAGTTATTTTTCAGTGACAGCGATGACTAATAATAACTGAGGCGTGGATTGTCTGGTTTTTGTTATTCAACCAGTCGATAACTAATAACCTCACACATCTACACAGAAAGTAGATATAGTCCTTTTAAGCTGTTAGTTGGATGTGCTCTTATAACAGGACTGCTGTTCTCTACTTGTTGCAAAACAAACCTTTATGACCAATAGAGCAGAAAGAAGTAAAGAACAGAGACAGGAAACACGGGAGAGAGTCAGCCCAGGAGTCACAGCGGTTGTGTGGTTTCTATCTTAACCATTACACCACTGGGGCGCCCCCACAAGATTCCTTTTTAATGTTACTATTTGATCTCCCTTTCTCCGTCACCGCCTTTCTTTTCCCCCTCGCTCCTCTCCCTCTTCCTCCCCTGCCTTTACTGGTTCTACTGGGCCACTCCTCCCCCTGAGCCTTCAGTGCTGCTGTGAAAGCAGGTCAGGCTGCTGAAGACTGCTGTGGGGATGTGTACAGTAGCCAGGGAGGAAGAAGAGGAAGAGCGGGAGGAGACGAAGAGGGGGGGGGGCGTCCGCTCTACAGAATGACCCCATGGCTACTGAGCTTTGGTGGTGATGCTGGTGATTTACAGCCCACGCTGCACCTAATGGGTGATTAACGCGCCCCAGGAACCGCAATGATCAACAGTAAATGAGCGCGGGGGTTTCCTCCGTTTTGAGATCTGACTGGAGAAAAGGAGGGCGACTATTGACCCGAGTGCACGGAGGAGAAACAAAGAGATGGCAGTAGATAGTGATTTAGTTTTTTCAGCCTTGTACCAAGGTGGCTCAGTGGTAACACTGTCACCTGCCAGGAAGAAAAACCATCATCTGATTCCAGCTGCAAATCCCTTCTTCACTAACTGGGTTCTCTTTAAGTGTGGGCGGTATATCGGATATACTCATCGTATTGTGGCTTTTTCTCGTGGGATGTAAAAAATGACTATATCTTAAAACATAGAGTACAAGTTGTCACATCATTTCTTAAAGCCCCCGGCAGGAAATTAGCTTTGTTTCTTTCTCCCTCTCAGAAACACACACTCCTGGGCGAGTGTGCTTGACGTTTAAGCTTTCTGTTTTTGTATCTGGAGAGAACAAGGGATCGGGGAAAGTGAGAACGACAGAAGTGAAGCACCAGAACAAGTTTAAACACATCAAATTCGAAAACTATAATGAAAGACGCCAGCCTCCTCCAAAAGGGCCATCAAACTAGCCCCCAAGTGATTGTTGTAAATGTTTGTGCCATGCATTGCTGTGCAAACTTAAAAATAAATGATGAAGACCTTCCAATGAACGTGTTGAATATAAAAATATAACTATATATTAATTTGAAACCGCAATGATTTTCAAATATGTGAATAATTAGTCAAACTTAACTGTAAAGAATCCATTTGCAAAGACTAATCTTACTTTACAATGACAGAAATGCACCTCAGAATATCATTCAGAACATTCCTGTTTCCACAGTCTGACTTTAAGATAATAGCAAACCATGCGAGTGTCACTCGGAAAATACCAGGTCATTCTGAATTTCATAATAAAAGCCGGCTAAAAAGATTGTAAACGAGCTGTGTTCCCTTTAAAATTCAGATTTATTTACAAGAATGACCATGCTGCAACAGTCATAAGCCTTGGGCAGTTAAACCAAACACTAATGTTATTTAAGAAAATCGCATGATATACTGTATACTGGCGACGCCTAAACATATCAAGAGATTATTTATAAGCTATTACACCAGCCCTAGTTCTATGTGGGTTTTTTTTCTGGTGTCCCAGTTTCCTTTCACAGCCCAACACATAGTTCAGATGGATGGAGGACTAAAAAGCCTTCAGGTATGACCCTGAGTGCAAGTGTCTCTCTGTGTTATCCCGCTGATACACTGACAAGAACCCCATCCGGGTTTCCTGCCTTCAACCAAAGCTGAGGCAGACTTCACTTCTCCATGATCGTACAATAAAGAACTTGTAGGCAAAATAAAGTTAATGAATAAATCACGGTTCGGGCCTGCTGGCTTTTTTGGCATGTAATTAAAATACCTTGCTCTTATTAAAGGTCACCTATTATGCAAAATCCACTTTTTCATGTCTTTTAAACATAAACACGTGTCCCATCTGTGTAAAGAGATTCTGGAAGTTTCAGGAAAAAAGATTTGCTCACTTTTTGTCCAGACACATTTATATAAAAACCTGTCTGAAAATGGGCTGATCAGATTTTGGCCACTTTATGATGTCATAACGATGTTTTGGCTTGTGTAAATCGCCAACCAAGGTAAACCCCGCCCACCTTATCACCTGAATCTCCTCCTAGAGCACCATTGTGTTCTTTTTAACCAAATATCTCTCAGAGGGGCGTGGGGAGTGGCTCCTTATTTTCATCTAAAGTAACAGACAGAGAATCAGCCCTGCACGCTGCAATGATCTGTTTGGTATTTGGAGCCAAACACTTCAGAGACATTTTTGTATATATCTGAGACCTTTAATATATTGATGAAAAAGAGTGTAATTGGAGACTTAAAAGAGTTCTCACCTGTGCAGGGCTGAGACTCCCAGGCCTGGTCGGGGCAGAGCTGCAGGTTCTCCGGCTCCTGGGCCAACACGGCCCGAGAGCGAACCTGAACAGAACCGAAGTCCACGCCGGCCCCTTTGGCGCAGACACTAACACAGGAGCTCCAGTCTGACCACTCCAACAGGTAGCATTCACCTGCAGGGGGCAAACAGACAGAATACATCATTGCTGGGACTGATATTGTAAGGGAGAGCAGAAATAATTCAAACTAAATGTGCCTCTGGTTCAAGTTTCCACAGTGTGAGGTTTTACTGCTTCCTTAATTGATTATGAAAATACTCTTTGGCTAATTGCCTGTTTGTTACTATGCACATAATCAGTTCAATTAGTAGGACAACAATACAATCAGCTTGGCCAAGATAAAACAGGTTCACCTTAAACAATTTAAACTGAGTCACTCTGTTCACTTTTATCTGTTCAGTCTGGAACATTTGAAATGACTGTCTGACCTGTAAAATAAAATGTCTCAGTCTAGCTTTGAGCAATATCTTCAATCTTTTAATTTCCTGAAAGCCAGTGTGCAGCCTCAGATCCCCCGGCAGGGTGGCCCTTCTACTAAAACTCAAATGTGACCAGGTTTTTGACATCAGGGCCCCAATTATTTGGAAAGACCTGCCTATGGAGGTTAACTGACAGAATCAGAATTCACATCTAGATTTAAAAGATTAGATGCGTTTTACTTCATGTCCAATATTCATTTTTATGTGTCCTCAATCTGTTGTTGTATCTTCTTGTTTTTGACTGATTTTCATAGCTCTTTTTAGACTTTTAGAAAGCTGTTTAAGATATGCAGAAATATCTGCACTGCAGCATTAGTGTGGGTCTTCTGATGGAAATCAGATCTTATACTTTTGGCAGTGCTTAGGCAATGTTTAACTATTAATCTATGTATGCGAACAGTTTAATCAGTTTTTTAATGAGACGTTAAGGTACGCAGTATACCGAATATCTATTTACATATTAAATCATGATGGTTGAGATGCTTTGAAGAGTTTCAGAAGGAGGGAGGTGTTAGTGAGAGGGCGGATTGGTTTTAATCCAAGCTGACAAGTGCAGCTCATCAAACAGCAGGGGAAATACAACATGGGTCAAGGGTGGCTGTGCATTTAAGAGTGTGTGTGTGTGTGTGTGTATGTGTGAGTGTGTGTGTGTATGCCAGGATTTCCAAGCTGTCCCCGGTTCTGCACAAACTTGAATTTCCTCCCAAATCAAACTACAGTATGTCCCTGCGCAGAAAACAGTCTGTGCTTTTGATTGCTGTTTGATCATTCAGTGCTCCTGCAGTTTGGCAAAAAGGGCTGGACTGACTCGTTATATAGGGCAGCGTTTCTCAGTGTTTTCCATCTTGGGGACCAGCAGACATCTGATGAGCTTTTTTTCCCTTTCCAAAACCCATGAGTGGAAACACATGCCCCACTCTTAACATATTAAATTAATATAGACAGTAGCACTTGCACATTTTGAGTTGAGTTGAAAATTCGAATATCTATTCCTATTTTTGTGTTTTGGCAGAAGCAAGTAACAAAAAAATCTGCCTTCAGGGATCGCTGATTTATATTTAAGCTGCAATGTGGGAAAATGCACCCTTCTTATCAGGCGGAATCATACATTGGGAGTTCAGCATCCCATCTTTTCTTATGGAAACCATTTGTACATTTGCCCTATTTACCAAAAGAAAATACTGATGTTCAATGTTCTGTGTGTCACACAATGTCGAGGTTGCACCTTGAGAATATGAAAGCAGTGCTGTGGTTGTTGGAGGAGCAGTGAAGCTTTGGAGCTGCAGACAGGCTGGACTCTGTCTGTCAGGAGCTGGGCAGAGCTCACCTGTCTGTCTCTGAGGCTGCAGAGCAACATAAAACCCAGCACCTGACAAGCCTCCATCACAAAACCTGACAACAAGTCATCAGACGCGACCTTTGAAGTGATAATCCCATCTGTGAGATTCTCCCTCTAGTTTTTCAGGGGTTGACATCCTTGGCGCTAAGCTGATATGTTGTTGCTCTTGCACTGCAGAGCTCAGACATTGCCTGCCAATCAAAGAGGGATCAATAGGCCATTTAATGCCATTTGCCTTACATGGAATATATTGAATTGATGAAGGCTTGTCCTTAATACCCTTGCTTCTGCTATTTAAAATAAAACAACCCTTCCATTGAAATAAATAAATGATTCATTGTTAGTTGAATCAGGACAAATTAGGGACACAAAGCTTGGCAAAGTAATATCAATCAAAATGCCAGACGGGTTGGTTTGTTTTCAAACCTCAGCAATAAACCACTATAGGAAATTCAATTATAAAATGTAACTATGCATCAGTGTATTGTTTAATACTGTATTTGACATTTATTTTTGCTTTTTGTCAGGTTAATCCCAACAGATGTCCATCTCAGAGACAGTGCTCTTCACTCACTGACATGAAAAACCAGCAGTGCCAGGTTTGAGGGTTTGTTACCCGCTGGGGCTACCCATGCGGAAAATGTGTGCACACATGGCTAACTAACAAGCATTGGGTGGTAAAATCAACCAAATGGTACATGACATCCTTCTTGTTATACTGTTTGATTTCTACACCCGAGTCTACTGAACAACAATGCACAGTTTAAAAAGGCATATATCAAACAAGGCTTTAAAAATTGTGTACACGAATCTATGCTGTTCAACCCTTTTCCTGAACAGTTAATGTCAAGTCATTATTAAGATATGTATACGTTATACTGTACATGTTGAAGCAGAGTGCATGGGGCCATACTCAGTATCTCAGATGTTTAGATGGCTGTTCCTTTGAAAACACCTTTCCAAAACCAAACCCAGTGTAGTATTGGACTAAAGTGTGGACAAGGTCGTAGACAGCTCAAAATAACCTGAGCTAATCTGTCGGGCTCCTAATTGAATTTGGGTCGGTTTACACTCCAGCCGGCCCTAGCCAACGTTACACAAGATAACATGACATTTCTCCTTAATAGTCCTTATCCACTAAGACTTCGCTGTTGTGTTGACTGTGTCATGCATCGCAAAGTGTCTTCTGGTTTCTGCTGGTTTAACCTGAGAGCAGCTCTGTATAAGTGCATTGTATTGTATTTCTTATTTTAAGCCTTTGATGTAATATTGAAATCCCTTTGAATTGCCAGTAAAACAAGTATGTATCAGCACCTCAATTCGTATAAGCCATGCCCTATAATTGGCGTTAAAAACACTTCTTCAATCTGTCTTTCTCGCAATCAACATCATCTTTCAGATGTGAGATGAATAAATGCATAACATTTGCACTTTATTGTCATTTACAGCACATCAGATTGTTATTCTGAGGCTGTTGCTCAGCTTGCCATCTTTTCTTTGTATCAGCCCTCAGGGTTTTTGTTATCTCGCCCACACAGATTATTGATTGCACCCCTTTTTTCTGTGCTATTTTATCTGTGTGAGTGTGTGCGTGTGTGTGTGTGTGTGCGTGCGTGCGCGTGCGTGCGTGTGTGTGTGTGTGTGTGTGTTTAAATCACTTTGCTACGATGTTTCAAAACTGTAAAAACGAAATAAATTGAATTTCGCTTTTCGGTCTATTTCATTTAAAGACCAGGTGGTCCAAGTAGTTTGTGCCTTTCACATAAAACTGAAAAAAACCTAAGGGCAATGGTGCCTCTGGCGTTTCGACAAACACCACTAACAACATTCACTGATAGAGGGCCTGTAAAGGACAAATGCACTAGTGTTTTGCCATCTTCAAGAGAGACTTCTAAGTGTATCCTTAATGGTAAAAAGTAAGGAAAGACATCAAGTTAACTGGGAGAAAATAGGTAAAAATGGAAGTCAATACGAGACCCAAATCTTCTTGTCGAGTATGAATGAAGACTTGCTTCCTTGCAAAAGAGAGTAGAGGGCTTCCGACAGGAAATTAAATGCTGTACCTACCATTAAATTGAACTCGCATAAAATGGCATTCAAAGCATCTGCAGCTGTATAATGTAGTCCATTTATTCTGTCCCAGGTATTCTCCTTCCACTCACTTTAAAGGTCATGAATACATACTGAGTGCTATTGGTTAGAGATAATAAACTCCACCCTGTAACCAAAGTATTTTTAGTGGCTGCTTTTTGATATAATTCAAACTGCTGACTAGTGTTGACTGTCTTCTGGTTTGTACTGAGAGCAGATCTGCAATGCAAAGCAGAGTTATAATGGAATATTTCACTAATCAATAAATCAATCATCTTGATTTATATATCACCTAGACCTTTGTAAAGAGCTCTGAACAACTGCTGTCAAAGATTTGACTGGGCTGAGGGGATGTATTATTTGTTTGGCCTCATTAACCCTCTATCACGAATAATGGTGATCGCAACATTCATGAAAATAATTGTAATTTACATTTTGGCCATAATCGTGCAGCTTTAAATTGAAATCAATGAAAGGGGTTTTGAAAATAATCGTAGTAAGGTAATAGTACCTCGTGCAGCACAGCAAGCTCAATCCGACCACATTTTGAAAGTATCATTAAGTAAGTAAGTAAGTCAAGTTTATTTATAAAGCGCTTTTCCCAGACATAGTTACAAAGGGCTTGACAAAGCATTACAACATCATACGAATCATAAAAGACGAAATGACCACACAAGCCACGTGTTAACAAGTGCTAAAAACACAATACATTGTGAAAAACACAACACACAATAAAAACACAATACAAATATAGAACAAAATAGAATAAAAGCACACAAGTTACCCAAACAGGAATGTCTTTAGATGACATTTCAAAGAGTCTACAGAGTCAGTGTCATTACCTGGGCAGGGCAGGTTGCAGGCCTCTTTCAGGACGATCTCAGTGTCTCCGTCCACGGCCAGCTTCAGGCTGTTGCACAGCTCCTCGTCCACCAAACTGCCTTCTCCTTCTCTGGAGCCGTCCGACACGTAGCAGGTCAGGTTCCTGTAGCGTGTACCGTGTCCACACACCACATTCTGACAGGACAGAAGAAGAAGGAGGATGATGAGTTACGGCAGTGAGAGAGGGGAGTTACAGGAACCAAAATGGGTTTGTTATATCTATGGGTGCAGATTTTGTCCATCAGTGATTTGAATTGAGTAAAACAATGGTGACAATTAAAGTCATTTGGATATACAAAGACAGGCTTGTCCTTATTACAATATACCGATTGCTTGATCTTATGTTGAAGTATATACAGTATTCATGTTGTATTCAACTGTATGAAATACTTTTCACATACCAAATAATTGAAATTTGTGACTGATAAGCCTTTCAACACTGAAATATAATGGAACATTTTTTAATTAATCTTCTATTGAGTTCCATTATAAAATCAATACCAGTCACTGTGAATAATATTTAAAATCTTTCTGAACAGACAAAAGTTTTCAGTCAAGATTGGGAAATAAAAGCAGAAATAACTCAGACATGTAATTAAAGTATGCACAGAGATGCTCAGTATTCAAACACTTATCTTGTCATATTTGTATTCAGTTCATCAACAAAAAAGAAGATTTTGACATCTTTTTGGTGGACTTCAAATAAATCTAAGCTGAAGATACCTCAAGGCTTTGAGTCCACTTCACTTGCTGCTTCACATTATAAGTCTTCATTGATTATTTGGCACTTGAAAGAGTTAATTGGAAGGAAATGACCTAAATTAATTATAAAAGGCATCATGTCTCCCTGTAGTCCCATAAAACTAACCCCTTCTTACGAAGTTTTCTCTTATGTCTTATAAAGCGATGCAGCAGACTCTTTTAATGATCCGGCCCGGTGTCACACAACTCAAGATGAAGTGTAAAGGCTGCCACATTTTTTGGCAAAGGCATTGAAATACAGTAATCCATCAGCGTTAAAGGTGCATTAGATTGATTTTTACTGTCCATCCCAACTGTATGCACATGGATTTGATGGGGTTGTTCATCAATACTAAAGACTCCATCATTTTTTTCAGGTTCTAATATTTCTGCCTTCTAAAATCCACTTTCTGGCTCAAATTCATGTGCGTATTGATCTCAGCAGTGCCAGGGACCTGTCAAAACTGCATTTCATGTAGCTGACAGAGGTCGATGTGATCATTCAAATGTAATGCTCCTGGATTATGGTATCATTTAATTATTTATTGGCGTACCTCCACCCGACACTCGGACCAGGGGCTGTACTGCCAGCGGTAGCAGGGCCGCACGGGGCAGGGCTTCCACTGCTCCATCTGGGGGGAGCACGGCCGGCCGTCGCCCTGCGAGGCCTGGACCACCGCCCGCTGCCGCCACATCTTACCTGGAGAAAACACACAGGACATCTTCAGTGTTTTATGTACTATACAGATCTGTACCAATTGTCTTTTGTTCTACATACTATACAAGGCTTCTATTAAGGTTTTCTAATAAGGCTTCAAATGTCTGTCGTCATACTTAATGTACATACTTTTTTTTAAATCCTCAACTTGAAGTGATTCATCTTTGAAATAAAAAAAATGATGAATATAAATACAAAGACAAATACATTTGAATACAGATTTGAATGGCAAAGTCACGAATAAAGCTTTGAACACTTTGTTAAAGCCCTAGAATTGTATCTTTAATGTTTGTGAAAGAAAGCAAAAATGACAGAAAGCAAGATGATTGGGGTAAACAGAACACCAGTGAGTCTATTTTAAAATTGTACTACAGGGTGTGTGCCAGTATTAAAACTTGAGTTTAGTTTTTCCACCGACATGATAGATCATTTTCTTAGTGGCTGTGTTTTAAATGCACAATAAACAAATGCAGACTGATTTTGGCATATAAAGTGACCACTGCGGTTTGCACAGCAGTCATCCATTCATTCTGTAAACAGCTTATTTAAAATGAATGTGTTTCTTTTGAATGCATTCAATTGATGTTGCCCTGGAAAAGAGCACTTCACTTAACAGAGCAGGCTTTTCTAAATGGTCTGAAACACAGCACTTGTTCTCTGCCATCTTGATTGGTTCTTGGTCCACTTGAGTAAAATGGCTTTCATCCACATCAATCAGCAAACTCTCAAGATAAATCTTGAATATTAAAGCCGCAAACACCTTGGAGACTTTGATTTAAGTGCAGAATTGAAGCTATGAATTAGTTGGAAAACTAAACACTTTCTGCTCACATGCAACCTTTCTATCTTCCTGTTTTAAACCGCCCTGGGAACCCTTCATATGTTGCATATCTCATTCTCGTTTTTCACCCTGCCTTGCCAGAAATATGCTCACATCAGAGCACAACGATACCAACCTACGACACCTCTCAACACAGAAAACACTATTCAGCCTTCCCACACATTTACACAAACTGTACAACCTCACATCCTGTTCCAACTAGAAAACATCCCACACACATTTACACACAAAACCACATCAAATAAGGTCCCCTTTTGCTCCGACAGCCTTTCTTGAACTTATGATTTAGCAACTATCGCTGTAGTGGCTCTTCTTCAAAGCGCTCCCCACAGCCCTGAGGAGCAGGAAGCTGTAATGGGACGGAATCCATTGTTTGAACCGCAAGAAACAACGACCAGGCAACAAGAGGACACATTTTCCTCAGCCATTTGGGAAGACCCTTAAATAAACATTTCTTCTCTTTTGCTATTGTGAGTTTTTCTGGCCAGCAAACCTCCAGTGGGAGCAGAAAGCATCTGATACGGGATTTTTCTAAGTTAACCAAGCTAGTATGTTTTGCAGAGCATTCATGTTTTACTCACACACATGCTTTTTAAAGCTTAATGTATTCAGGCTCGTTGAACCAATACCGCAAGGGTTATTTACTTGCATGTTCCTGCTTTACATTCATCCATTTATACATTAACAACTTGGGGCGTCTACTGCTGACATTTTCTTTAGATTTTGTCCTGTTACAAGAAGCAAAGGGGCTGTCAACCAAAGGTAAGGCCTGTTTTTTCAGCTGTACCTCCTTTTGTTCAACAAACATGAAATGCAGGATAATTACACATATAAAGATGCAGTCAGGAAGAGACCTTTCAAGGCTTTCTGAGCTGCATCAACTCTCACACAAGGAATAATTAGAAGAGAATATCCGCTGGATCTTAATGAGAGTCATGATAATTAACCTCAGATCCGCCCCTTCACATTACCACACTACATTAACGCTGTTATTGTCATCTACCTGATGACAGTGTTACGTTAATCTCAATCACACCAGGGATAGATGTGACCCTTGCTGTTGGACCTCTTCAATGATAACTTTTTTTTTTTAATTGGATGAGATCACACCATCCACATTGATACCTAGTGTCCTTTTAACTTTCACAAATGTCAGGCTTTCAATGTAAGAGTTTATAATCTCTCGTAGCGCAGCAATTTTTCCCACGCTTAGAATCTAATTGGGCCACCCAATTACATTTGGCAACCAATTGTATTACTATTATTGTCATTATTATTATGTATATTTTTTTATTTAACAACAGTTAAGGTGCTTTTCTCCTGGATTTGGTTGCTCTGGTATTTGCTTTTACTTTTTTCCTCACCCACACCCGCTCCCGAGACCACATCACTCCCGTCCTCCAGAACCTCCACTGGCTCCCCGTCCGTCAAAGAATCGACTTCAAAGTCCTCCTCATTACTCACAAAGCCCTCAACAATCAGGCCCCCCCCTTCCTCACAGACCTGCTGCACCACCACACCCCTTCCCGTTGCCTCCGCTCATCAGAAGCCGACCTCCTATCCATCTCCACCCGCATCAATCACAGGACCTGGGGGGACAGAGCCTTCTCCGTCGCTGCCCCCTCCCTCTGGAACTCACTTCCACAACCCATCAGAGACTGCACTGACCTCACCACCTTCGAAAAACTCACCTCTTCAATCTGGCTTTTAATGTGTGATTGATTTTGTATTATTTGACTTTAACTATATATTTATTTGTTGTTCCTTTCTTTTCTTTTCACTATATCTGTAAAGCGTCTTTGAGCACCTGTAAAAGCGCTAACAAAATAAATCTATTATTAATATTATTACTTTGATTTTATCAAACTATTGCACATAGTAAGTATTATATAGATATATATCAGTACATTGATCATTGTAAGATCAAGCTTTACAGCTGACCTTGTGTGTGACATGATGTGTTGATAGTAAAAGGTTAAAGATTTCTATTCTTGCTGCCAGTTCTTTGATCACACTGGAAATTACTCAAGGTTAAAATATCAGCTCAATGTCAACAACTATGTCAATTTAAAGGTTGATCTTCGAGTCTTACCTTCGAGTCCGCATGTCTGTGAACAGGCTGACCATGCGGACCACTCTGACAGCTGACAGTTGACGGGACACTCGACCACACAGGAGATGTTCATCTGCCACTTCTTCTCCAAATTCAACTGCAATATGTATGAAACAAAGAGGTTAATTCATGACAAATCATCAAACCAACAGTTGTGTCAAAGCCAAGTCAATCTGTTATGGCCTGAAAGCAGCTTGACCTCTCTGCCCTACAATTCCCAGAAGCCTTTGTTCTGGCAGGGGACACACTATGTTGGGCAGCATCAGGCCAGCAAGGTTGCACTATCAAAGCTGCTGTGAAAGCCATTCTGACACAATGTGTTTTTGTGAATGAGCCAGATGATGAAGTGGGCCAAGGGTTAACTAGCTGTGGGGACGGCTCTGCCACAGCCCGCCGGCTACAATTACAGCCAGCCCCGACACATTATGAATGAATAAAAGGCTCAGCCCGAAGCAATGACAACAATCTCTGCATGGGAATACTACTGAGAAATGGTGCTGCTGAGGGGCCAAAGTACTGTACGGTGACGGTAATATAATGCATGAGTGATGTGATAAAGTCATTAAGAAAAATGAGTGTGTCCAGAAAAAGAATAGTGAAAACTAAACTCGCCAAAAAACCAAAAGTCAAAGTAAAAAAGGGAGTAGCTGGAGGACTTGCACGTCTCACCTCCTCACAGAACTTCATATTGACTGATTTTCCGTCGCTGCGAACACAGTCGAGCATCCGGGTCTTGATGCCGCTCCCACACACAGCGTTAGGACTCAGCTGACAGGTACTCCAGTCTGAAAAACAACATATTCACATATTTATTATTTTGGCTGTAAAACTGGCAATATAAATGTATTAAAGCAGAGACAACTCCTGAAACATTGCACCAGTATACAGTAGATGTTTTCTACGGTACAACTACAATCCTCTTGCTGCTGAGCATCACAGAGTTGACTTTTCTGTATTTGTTTCTTAATGTTGCAAGAATTCGTGTTGATTGTACTTGGAAGTGTATTGTTTTGTTGACCTAACTCTAATGCAGCCTAGTGTTTAAACTGCAGTGTAACTGTATACCAAAAGCTCTCATCCAGACATTAATGATTCATCTAAAAGACACTAAAGAATACAACACCCTGAGTCATACATGTTCTTTTAACATAGTAAGTGCAAGTATAGGGAAAGCAGATTTTCAAACCTTTTAGTTTTTTAAAGTACAAGTCAAATCTAAGTCCTTTAAGAAACGTCAAGGATCAAATCCTCTTAAGCTAATTCAGTTAATATGTGTACGTATGAAAGTGTCTTATTTTTGTTTTATATTTGACTAGAACTAGAAAGTTTTACTTAAAATTCTCAAAGTGAGACACGACTCAGTGCAGTCAAATCAGTGACATGCCTGTGATATACTGTACATATACATATGTACATATATACATATACATATACAATACAATATTGGGAATTTTGAACAAGTCTGTATTTAAATCTGCATGCACTTGTTTTATGTGTAGGAGGTATCGTAAAAAAGCAGAAAACACAACATTGAATCCCTATCATCTTTAAAGTTGACAAGAGACATTTATCATCAAACAATTTGCATTCATTTCCTTCTTTAAATGTAAGAAGACACATGCATTGGCTTTAGCTGATATTTAAATGCATTTATCTGAACTATCCCCCTTATTTAAAGCAGTATTTTGTACCCTACTCACCAAATCATCAAGTTAGACATTCTGTTCAGATTTATTTCTCTGTCCCCTCTGCAAAACATTTGATTGGCAGAAGAGCGTTCATGTTCAAAGACCCAACTGACTGGAATACTTTACCTGCTGCTATTACATTACATTGCCGAGATACTTGAACTCTTTCACTTGGGGTAAGGACTCATTCCCTACTTGGAGTGGACAGTTCATTGGTTTCCTGCTGAGAACCATGTCCTCAGATTTGGAGGTGCTGATCCTCATCCCAGCCGCTTCACACTCGGTTGCGAACCGATCCAGTGAGTGCTGAAGGTCGCAGACCGATGAAGCCATCAGAACCACATCATCTGCAAAAAGCAGTGGTGCAATCCTTAGTCCACCGAACTGCAGACCTCCTCCCCCACGACTACGCCCTCGAAATCCGATCCATGTACATTACAAACAGGATTGGTGACAAAGTTGGCCTTGGCGGAGGCCAACCCTCACCTGAAATGGGTCCGACTTACTGCCGAGGACCCGGACACAGCTCTCGCTTTGGGAGTACAGAGATTGAATGGCCCTGAGTAGAGACTTCTCACCCCATACTCCCGCAGCACCTCCCACAGTGACTCCCTGGGAACCCGGTCATATGCCTTCTCCAAGTCTACAAAACACATGTAGACTGGATAAGCGTACTCCCAGGCCCCCTCCAGGATCCTTGCGAGAGTAAAAAGCTGATCCGTCGTTCCACGACCAGGACTGAATCCGCATTGTTCCTCCTCAATCTGAGGTTCGACAATCGGCCTGACCCTCCTTTCGAGTACCTTAGAGTAAACTTTCCCGGGGAGGCTGAGTAGTGTGATGCCTCTGTAATTGGCACACACCCTCTGATCCCCCTTTTTAAAAAGGGGAACCACCACCCCGGTCTGCCACTCCTTCGGTACTGTTTCCGACTTCCACGCAACGTTGATGAGACGTGTCAACCATGACAGTCCCTCAACACCCAGAGCCTTCAGCATTTCTGGGCGGATCTCATCCACCCCCGGGGCTTTGCCACTGTGAAGTTGTTTGACGACCTCAGTGACCTCCCCCCAGGAGATTGGTGTTGATCCCCCGTCATACTCCAGCTCTGCCTCTAACAAAGAGGGCGGAGTTGTCGGGTTCAGGAGTTCCTCAAAGTGCTCCTTCCAACGCCCTAACACTCCANTTTGCTAAGGGTTGTTCAACTTTTAAAAGATGTTTGAATGGTGATATACACAGTGATAGATGTTAAGCACTAACGTTTATAATAAATACATTTGTATTGATTTTTCAATACAAATGTATTTATTATAAACGTTAGTGCTTAACATCTATCACTGTGTATATCACCATTCAAACATCTTTTAAAAGTTGAACAACCCTTAGCAAAAAAATCTATAGAATACTATAGAAAAATCTATGGACGAATTCTATAGAAATTTTCTGTAGAATACTACAGGATTTTTGTGGATATACTATAGACATTTTACTATAGATTCTGGGAAATAATCTATATATACTATAGAAAAATCTATGGACGAATTCTAGAGACATTTTCTGTAGAATACTACAGGATTTTTGCGGATATACTATAGACATTTTACTATAGATTCTGGGAAATAATCTATAGAATACTATAGAAAAATCTATGGACGAATTCTATAGACATTTTCTGTAGAATACTACAGGATTTTTGCGAATATACTATAGAAATTGCCTACGTGTTTTACTATAGATTCTGGGAAATAATCTATAGAATACTATAGTACTATAGAAAATATATACTGTGTAGATGGTTTTTTTGTAGAAAATAATCTATAGAATCCTATAGAAAACCCCATGGATGCTTTCTATAGAACTTTTCTGTAGAATACCATTCTGTAGAATACTATATAATTTGTGACCTATATTCTATAGAATCTGTGGACATTTCTATAGAACTTCTTTGAAGAATACTATAGAATGTTTGCAGATATTCTATAGAATTTACCTATGGATTTTACTATAGATTCTGCAAAAATAATCTATAGAAAAATCTATTGATGTTTCTATAGAATTTCTGTAGAATATACTGCAGGATATTGGCAAATATTCTATAGAATTCATCTATGAATTTTACTATAGATTCCACCAAATAATCTATAGAATCCTATAGAAAATTGCTATTGTTTTCTATAAAATTGTTCTGCAGAACAGTACAGGATTGGTGTAGAAATTCTATAGAATTAACCTATAGATTTTCCTACAGATTTCTATAGATTTCTACAGAGATGTCATGAGTCGGTTCTGTCCTATAGAATTCTTTAGATTGTTATAGTTTTAATTTTAGAAGTTTATAGAAAAGTACACATTTATAGTATTCTACAGAATGATCTAGAGAATTCTATAGTATTCTATAGAATTCTTTAGCATGGCGACTATGTTCTATAACATGCTATTGATTTCTACAAGATTCTAGCTAGGATTTTATAGATTTTTTTGCTAAGGGATATCACCAGCCTTATCCTAAAAGTACTGTATTTCTATATATAATCTGAAAAATGTGTAGAGCTAAAGTGTATTTCACACTCGTCATAGCAAACGTCTATTTCTCTATATATGTAACTATGGTGAATTATTTATAAACGCAGTGAGAATATGGGAGAAACTTTCAGTCGGAAACTTTCCAGACCACAGCAGTTCAGGTGCCGTACCAGTGAGACAGTCCTTTCTGCAGTTAGCTTTTGGGAATTATTTCCAGTGCCACTCTGACTTTGTTTTAATCTCTCCTCACAGCAAAAAGCCAAAGAGACCTCAGAGACAGAGGCAACAAAACAACCGACTAAAACCTCTGACTCTCGCCTACGACGGGGACACGGACATGTAGTCCCTCGGAGACGCTTCACCATGCACTTCACCTGTCATAGAGACACCTCTTCACCACGCCATCACAGTGAGGAACACGGATGTTTGCAGCGTGAATGGACGCGTCACACCAGCGGCGAAATCACAGAAAATCCTCTTAGCAGAGACACTGGTTGGGTTTAACCGTTTCAAGTACGGCTCCATTCACTCTCCCTTTTTGTTTTTTAGTGTTGTTTCTTTTGCAAGAGCCTTCATGAAATCCACCCTGTTCAATGAGATGCCTTTTTTTGCCCCCCCCACGTGTCCATATGTCTCTAAAGGTTTGAGAGTCTGGGTGCAGAAGACAGAGCTCTCTGAACATGGCAAGCTCAAACTCTTCCCCCGCGCTTTTCCGCTTGTCCCTAAAAATGCTGAGTAGCTGGAGGCTTAGGATGCTCTGACGGTTCATACGTTGCCAAAAGTCACCGCAGGGAAGAGGAGGAGGAGGGAGAGGAAAATCTCCATAAAAAGGTTTGGATTCCTTTTTCTCAATCCTCAACTGGGTTCTGACTCAAATCTCTTTTGCAGTCTTGAACAAAAGGGAGGCATTTCTTCTCTTCTTCATTTGGAGGCCTGTGTTTGTGGGATAAACAGATCCGTACGATGCTGATGGAGCCTGCATCAGTTGTTCATGGAAACGGCCGCCTGCCTCCGCCCTTCCTTTGTTTCAGGCTCTACATTGCACTATATTAGTGCAGCATGATATGCACATGTGACTTCTACCTTCGATTGCCATAAAACACTGCCTCTTCCACAGAACAACCCGTAGAGCAGAGCAACACGAAAACATTCAAGAGAAACATGTTCTGCCAAACAGATGTGAATCTCAAGTAAATATATGTATAGATTTGGTTTCTCACCGCTGATTTCTTTTTGGTTGAAGTAAAGTACCTTTTGTGGTTTGTAGATTTCGTCCGGTGTTATCACTTTTTTTTCTGCCCAGATGTAATTAAAGATGACATCAGAGGGTGACTTTTTTTAAATGAAGCACCTGCTTTGATGTTATTTTAACCTTAAAGGATCTGATCAAATTCAATATTTTTACCTAAAGTGGTAACAAGATAAAACCTTTGCAGTGAATACAAAAAAAAGAAGGAACAATAAATGAAACCATGCAAATGTCATTTCTGCCTTACTGACGACAACTAAATACTAGCAGTCCTGTAAAAGAGTGTTTAATACTTGAATGGGGCAACTTATAAAATGCATTACATAAAAGCGTAGAGAAAACGACATTTTCTTTTTCAAAGCAAAGCCTCCTTCAGAGTTTTTAAACGTTTTCATGTAGCTATCCGTATCATAGGTGCTCTATCGTTTTTCAGTCACAATTCATTCGGGAAGTTATAGTTTAAAAAACAATGGGTACCACTTTACAATAAGACTAGCCTTATAAAGGATTCATAAAGGGATTATAATTAGGTTATTAATTAGGTTGCAAACACTTTATTAAGAACCATTTATAAACCAGTTCTCACATAGACACAGGCTCACTATTTGGCAAGATGACTAAGCCTTACATTGGCTACTTAGCGAGAATCAACTCAGTGAACAACAGATACCAAGGATGCTGGCTGATGAAGGAGACGAAGTAAGCTAAGTAGCCAATATAAGACTTAGCAGGACAGATACATGTGGGCTCACTATTTGGCAAGCAACCGGTCACAGTTGCCCTGTTTATCTCATGTCTTATAAAAGCTTATTAATGATTTATAAAGTGTTCACAACCTAATTAATACATGAATTACAGACTATTAGTAAACTCTTTATAAGGGTAGTCTTATTGTATATTAGTGGTACCAAACAATCTGTACAAAGAAATAACATGTTAATAATATAATAATAGGAGAACACGCTTCTGCTGAGTTCAACGTAAAAGCAAAACTGGTGTGGAGAATGTTTACTTGTTTGTTTTGGGATTTGTAAATAACAGCAATTTTTTTATTTTTTTGGAGAAAAAATGATCAAATTATGTGTACATTTATTTTGTATTGCACAGAAATGTTTAGTTTGAATATTGCAAAGTGGGTGTGTGATATGTTGCTGATTGTTGTAATCATGATGCAAGTTGGATGTTATGAGACAAAAAAACGAGAAAGAAAAAAAGAAGCAGAAGAAAAAAAAGAGTAAAAAGGCTCAGCCGTTTTGTACAGGATGTTTATATGTGTGCAAAGAATTACCGAAAAAATAAATAAGGACACGGTTGTTAACACAAGAAGAAGGTTGTTGAGCCGTTTTTGTCATTTACTTTATTTATATATATCTATATACAAGGAAGCAGAACCCCTTAATAAAATGTAAAAATGGCTTTGAAGGATATCAGGCTGGTGTTTTCTTACATTGTTTCTTTATGTCAACAAATCCCATAAAAACTATTTGTTTACAGCCTGACAGATACTGGCGTTTTGAGGATACTATTATTATTTGTTTATTCCTCTTTTGGCCAATAGCTATCACTTTAAACAAATAAAATAAACAAACAATGCTATTTTATTATTTAACTTCATTTAAGAATCCCATCCAACTTGTATACATGGGACATTTTGAATTAAAACGTCCTTTTATCAGATTTGTTGACAAAAACAAACAAAAAAAGACTACCACTTCACCTATCCTTGAAAATGGAAAAATCATTTCACAAAGAAGTAAAACGCGTAAAGAAAGTTGAAATCCTTCAAATAAATTCCTTAATAAGTCCAGTCTGCTCTAACAGGGGTTTTTTAAAACACATTATTCAAACTCACATTTAGTTTTGATTCAAAAGGTTCAAAAGAATGATTTTCTTACTCGATTAACTATTTCTTTAGTCGCTTATTCATGTATATCTACTTGAACAATCACTTCAGAGATATTCAGAGTTTTAATTCAGATTGTTTGTTATTTTAATAACTAGAAAGCCCCTGAATTAGTAAATGTTCATATTTTGGTGATTCCTACATTTTCTGACTTAATTCAACATAAAACTGATTCTACAAGTTAGTGTTAAGAAAGGAAAAGAAGAGCATGTGTATGTGTGTGTATATATAATATATATATATATATATACACACACACACACACATTGAGCTACAATGTTTTTGTTAGTAAGACTTTTCCACCTGGAAGGACTTTTGCAAACCTGCCCGGCACGTTGCATCAGCTGAAACATTATATAGTGAAACACATTTGAGTTTGCAGACAGCCTCTTTTTTTTCTATTTTATGAAACAACCTCTGGGGGTAAGTTGTGGGTTTACTTCTGCTTTTTTTTCATCATTTGAAAACATTTGGTTTAATGTTCTCTGGCTCATGAGGAGCTGTGTCGAGTCAGGGACGAGTTGCTCACATCACATCAGGGCAGTGTTTTGGTGTTGAAGACTAAACAATGAACCAGAGAGTCTACGTAACAAACGGAAGGCTGGAGTTATTCAGATGTGGGTGTTATAACCAGAGGCAACACAAGATGCTATTGCTCTGCATTATGGGAAGTGTAGGATCCAGTCTTCTAAAAGTTGACCTTAAAAGACAAGAAGTCGTTCTTCATTTTTTAGATTATCTGTTGCAAGACCACTAACTGTTTAAATAGGTAAAAAGGAGATAATAAATAGGTATAGTCCTATTTAATAAAGATGTGTGTCTGATACTGACGGATATAAAAACAGCTCCAAACACAAAAGCAGGGCATTTCTATTTTTTTACTTTTTAAGTGGGAAACGTGATAAACCCAATTTTCTTTTCAGCTTTGTTATGTAATAATCTAACCTAAATAAGTCACTCACTCACAGTATAAGGGATTAGAAAAATGAACAGAAGAAGCTGCAACATGTCAATATGACACCAAAATACTAAAGGTCCCATCAGGTTGTTAAACTGTAAGTTTAAGACGATATATCCTCTTCTGTTTGGGGTCCCTTTGGTTCAACCTGTTCCTCCGCCTCATGATTCCAACATGGCAGCTTTATGTGTCTCCAGATGTTCACAGCATCTGGTGAGAGGGGCACAGCCACGGCAGCTGGCAGCCACTAGATGTCAGCCCCTGACGTTGTTTAAAGAAAAGTTCCTTCTCAAAAGTCTATAATGTGAACCTCCTTCTCTGCTCCCCGCTTTCTCCTCTCTCCCTCCCCCCTCACTCTCTCACTCTGTTTGTCCCTCCATTCCCCCCCGAACCCTCTCTCCCCTCTCTCTCCTCTCTCTCTCTGAAGCTCAAAGCGCACTATATAAAACATCCCTCCACACTGACACTCAGATGTACAAACACCTCGGCTCTCTCCCAGCCGTGCATCAAAAATCACCTCAGAGACACTCGTAGCGTTTTAACGGCAGACTTCTGACCCCGCTGAATGAGCCTGAGAAGATCCATCACTGCCCCCCCCCCCGCCGCCGCCTCAGGACCGCCTTCCTCACTCTGTGTTTCCCCTACAAGTTGTGCAGCTCAGTCAAAGGGACATTTTTTTTGCGGGCTGAGAAGATCAAGGACAGTTTGACATGAGGGGGGACGCTCCACAAAGAGGCATGAAGACCCCGTGTCTGTGGGCTCTGCTGCTGTCAGTCGTCTCTCTGGTGAGTTACATATCTCTTTACCTCTAATCACTTTATATATCGCTACAGTGTGATTTATGTCTGCACCTATCTGGTAGAAGGAATATCAATGAATGTGCACAAACAGAGATTGTGACTGATAAGTGACTTTCAGTGTGAAAACAAGCATGATTTGATTTCTGCTAGACGTCTGTTGCAGTCAGTTTATAGAAAAGTCTAGAAAATATAAAACAAAATATTGTTTTGTTGATTTCAGACTAATTTGACTTATGATATACTAAAAGGCATGTTTCTGAATAGTTTTCCTCACGTTGGACCCCTGTAGTGACACATCCCACCTCCACAAACCTGTAACTGACTCGTTAATATCTTCATGAATGAACAAATGTGAACACAAGCTTCCCAAATCCAAAATCTGCATCTTGACAAATCCGCCCGCGCGCAATCCCGCTGGATGCCTCTCCCTCAGCACTATCCATTCATCCCTCCTTTGCATCTCCCCTCCTCTCTCCCATTTACAGACACACTTCAATAAGAATATATTTGACAGTGCGGTGGAGAACAGCCTGAGCCCATTATGACAAACACACCAGAATGCTCCTAACTCAGTGCCTTGACAGTTTGTGACAACCCAATTCCTTTAATCCTCAGAAAGACAGTAACCCCTCACCCGCTGATAAATCTGTCAACAAAGCAATCAAAGCAGAACAGGAACCACTCCTCTCTCCAAATATTCCATAAACTTAATCCCCACAAACTTGACTGGCCTTAAAAAGCTCCCGTGGTGTTATCTGTGTTTAATTTGCATAGTGATGGAAAGAAGTCAATTACTATTAATTATTCTCTACAACTTAATACCCATTATCGAATTGAATTCACCGTCTTGAAAACCATAAACTCAATTTCACAGCTGACTAAGCGCACTAATCATTTCCCCCCCCCCCCCCGCTTCTTTTTTCTTTTTTCTACTTTACGGTGGCTTGCTGCTTTGAAAGAACAACATGGATTGTTCGATTTCAGAAGCAATAACATTAACTTACATGGATTCCCTTATTGTCTCAACATAAAGACGAACATGAATCATCAAGTGTGTGAGTTATATGTACCAAAGCATCATGGTAGTGAGTTGATCTCATAGCATCAGATGATGGGAGTGTTTTTTTTTTTTTTTCCCAGACGGAGCTGCCAAATTGCTTCGCTATGCTTTAATGGGATGATCATAATTGTTTCGTACTCGGTGCATCCTAAGCTTTCGCCTGCAGCTCCTTCAACAGATTGACAGACCCATGGGAACCTCACAAACTTATTTTGGCCGCCTTTGAACCAAGTCGTGTGTGAAATAATATGATTATGCATTTTTCCTCTGGGTAAGTTGAAAACTGGTGGCTACTTTTTTTTTCTCTCTCCTCTCCCCCCTACCTCCTCTTCCTCCTCCTCCCTCTTCGTCTTCAAACTGCCCCTGCTCTAATACCCTGCAGTCTGTCCGCGTATAGTATTTATCCTGCTCAGAAGTCATGGTAATAATTGTGCCCCGGCCGCTCAAAGCGCTGCTGCAGAGATGGGACTCGGCTCCATCCACAGCTGCCTGTGATGTCTTGACACACTTTGTGATTTGTCATCATGTCTGACCCCCCTCAGGTAACACTTTGATATCACTAGGAGAGCATAGACCTAAACTCTTAGCGGAGTTAAATGCCCTTAGTTGATCTATCAGCTCAACCAACGGGGGAACCTCACAAGGCGAGACAAGTTCAATTCCTGTAAATGACAATCATATCCCGCAGTTGGAAAAATAATCCGCATCAACACATCAAGGTCTCTTAAACCGCTCCTGTACAGAGGAACATTTCAAACAGACTCCAACTCAGCTGATATTCCACAGACCAATATGTTTACTGAAGTCCTTCATGCAAGCTGAAGGTCATACATATATTAAAATATGCCTTTACTGGGAGGTGGAGCGAGACTCCAGAGGGACTGTCTGGTACCTGAAAGGTCACAGGTTTGATCCCACAAAAGCCTCATGTCCTTGAGCCAAACTGCAACCCTGCATAGCTCCTCAGACTTTAAGACTCTCTGGATTAGAGAGTTTAATACCATACATTTTAAAGAAGTTCTGAAGGCTTCTGCAGTGTGGTACTAATGCACATTAAAGAACAACATCTCTCTTAATCTCTGCATGTTGCAGCTCAACCCACACCATCCAATCAAGATTACAAAGTGGCAACCCATATCTGCTCTCAGCCCAGTGCTCTGTTTAAACTAGAACCGTCGCACTCTCAAATCCTCCCCGCACAGCAGCCGGAGCATTCAGGTAAATGAAAACTGACACACACTTTCATTCTTCCTCGCAAGGTTTTGTGTACAGCCCACCGCCGAGTCATCTGGCTCCTCCGACGGTTCTATTAAAGGTGGAATTTGTTGGCCGCTCCGGGGTCCAGCACATAGAAAATCCTCCGAGCTCCCGAGGGGGAAGCCGGGGTTGTTTATCTTCCTGTTTCAAAGAGCGGACGCCTGCGCCTTATCACAGCCTCGCCAAGAGTAGATAGCATTTAGGTTTGTCCAACACCCGGCCTACATGCTGCATCTGGCAATCTGGAGAGTCGTTTCCTAAAAGACTTATGCATACCCGTGCTGTTTGTGTTATCGTGTTGAGGGATTCTGCCTCATACACACAACCTGGGAGTAATATTAATAGACAGTTACTGTAAATGGGTTTTTTTTTGGGGGGGGGTGGCTGGGAGAATCCAGCATGAGAAACTGCAGGCCCAAAAGTTGGAATAGCTCTGAGCCAGGAAATGAAAGTGTCTGAAAGAAAATGATTGGGAGATACGTTTGAATATCCTTGAATGCAAACACTATATTTAATATGTATTGCAAATTGAATTTGTTTACATTGCTGCATTTGGACGATAGGACTTTCTGTAAGTGAGTGTAGTTTTTGGGAATAAAAGGGGCACTCCACAGATTTTAAAGACATGTACAAGCCACCTGGGGTCCAAGATGCTCCTGTTATAATTCTGGGGAATTTAGGAGCTAGAAAGACACTACAGAAAAAATACATCTGGATATCTCGACATCTGCTGCTTTGATTTTTCTCATAGTTTTATCCGAGTCCCCTGTGTGTGTGTCTAACTGTGAGGAAGGGTATTTCACCTTTATAGCTGAGGACAACTGATACTTTCATATCATGTGTCTTAAACCCCTGAAAGCTAAGTTTAAAAAATCAAGCAGGCATATTTCCCCATAACATTAAGTATTATAAATATATCTTGTGTGCAACAATTAAAGTTAACGTTTAAAACCAACATACTTTGTTTGTAAAAGCGTACCACTAAAACAAATACAGAAAATCTCTCCTTAAAATAAAAAAAGAAAGTTCAAAATTGAGAAGAAAATATAAAGAACCCCATTTCTTAGCTGATTAAGAAAACATGCTTTCAAATCTTTAAAACTTTGACATAAGAATGTAACTTCTGTGAAACACAAACTGATGAAATCACACCAACAGCTCTTTGTAGGACGGTGATATGCGTAGCAGTTTTTCCATATTTTCTTATTGTCAAAAAACACAAGACAAAAACCTAAGGGTTAGTCCATCTTGAAACCCTGTAGCACTCTGCCCAAAGCCCGTTCGTTACTACTTAACACTTACATTTTTATAAACAAAACAGGGCATTGCAGCTTTACCAAATGTAACTCAAACAGAAGTAAATGGTGCATTTGTTTTTGAACAACGTTTAGTGATTTGTCCTCTCAGAGTGGATTGGTGGCATCAATAATGCAGGTCACAACCACCTGAGTGATGGCTGTGTTTATCTCTATTTAAGGCTTCCACTTGATTCTTTCATTATTGATTAATCCGCAATGGATCAATAGAACACCAGAAAATAGTCGTTTTAGTTTCTAAAAGCTCAAGTTGAAGTCTTTAAATTCATTGTCCAAACCACAGTCCAAAACCCAGTGACATGTAAGATACTTTCACATGTTTTACTGTTTAAGCTATCCATGATGAAGATCTAATTCAGATCATTGTTCAATTAAATACAGTATGCACAAAAGTATTCATGATTTAGAGTAAATCAGCCTGAAGCATGCAAAGATACGTCTAATTCTAAAGGGTCAAACAGTGATTCATGGATTAGAAATTAAAGGAAAGATTTGTGTTGGTCTATACATTTAGAATCTTTAATGTCAGATTCATCTCAATTTTTATTGTTGTGAAATACTGGAAAGTTTGCTCTTTTTCTGGTCACTAAAAAAAGATTCAAATGAACCTATCTGAGATGTAGATGGGAAATCATTCTTAAATGAAGCTGAGGGTTTGTAGAAAAACACAACCTTTAACAAAGAAGCTGCATCATAATAAGGGGCTGAAGAACCAAAGCGATGGGAAGCGTTGCGTTGACGGTCCCCACTGAAATCATAAACACAATATTAAAATACATCATAGCTAAATGAAGCCAATAGAGTGTGAAATACATCTCACTTCTATCTGTGGAAGACATAGCTTGATATTTAATAAAGCCCTAATATTGGCAAACCAATATCTGTTAAACCCAGTGTTATCAAAGCGTGACTGTTGACCTTTATGCTGCCATTTTTGTTTTTCTCTTGTCCTTTATCCTACAGTATTTTCCCTCTTTTCTCTCTGCAGTATCTCTTCCAGGCACACAAACACTGTGTCTCTCTCTCTCTTTGTGCCTGGCTTGCATGTTTTTGAAGCCAGCGAGAGGTAAATGTTGGCCCTCCGAGTGTTGGTGCAGTCAGTCGGGGTGTTCTGGATATAAACGTAGCTTTAGTCAGGACTGCCTCTGATCTGCCTAATCTCCCCGGGCTGGATTACAGGTTGGGCTCTAATCCGTGAAGTGGGGTCTCTGTGAATGTGCCTCTGAGTGCTCTAATCCAGAGACTGTCAGGTGCTTTAGATGAAAGCTAATTGCATGTCACAGTTTGGGGACCATACATAACGCCGCGACAACAGAGCGAGTTCATCACAACAACAAGACATCGGTCTGATGGTGACTGTGAACACACTTCAGATCATCTTGGAAGAAAATAGTGAAGAAATCCCCTCCAAAAAAAAACAAACTCCAGTGACATCTCCTTTTACAAATTATTCATAACATGAAGTCACAGAAACTGACGCTGCCTCCCAAAACACACTGTTGCAGGCAATCTAATTTCCTGGTGACAAGGTGATCAAACTTGGAGTGTCTAATCCTACTCGGATTTGAATTGTTTAGGAAGTGTTCTTTACATTACACACACACACACACACACACACACACACACACACACACACACACACACACACACACACACACACACACACACACACACACACACACACACTAATTAGCCTGACAGTCACTTAAAGCAGCTCAAAGCAGTTTCCTAATATCCCTTGATCTGGTTTCGAGACTCCGTTGAGACTGAAACCCAGTTACTGAGAAGCATCAGTAATTATGGCAAGAGGAAAATGATATTTCATTTGATCATTAGAGACTACAGTCTTTTCTCAGAATAGAAATATTCATGAAAAATAAATGGGGATTAGAGTCTGGATTACGGGTCAAAGATTATTTTTAGTGATTATTGGAAACATATAAAACTGAATTTATGTTTAAAGTCACATTGGATCAAGTGTTAGAAACCTGTACATGTATTTCGAATGAAGGTCACTAGCTTTTCCATAACATCATATTTGACCTTGTAACGCCGAATAAAAAATAATCTGACATCAGCTGCTGTGTTAACCTAGAAAAAAGCAATTATTTGAACCATTAGAATCAACATAAACAAACAACCTGAAATATTATTAAACCCTAAAACAAAGCCTATATAATGTTCAATGTAATAATGGGTTCTATAGCTGCCTAGCTGATAGTCCATACGATACTGTTTCACCGAGCTTTTACATCCTAAGGAGCTTTATGTTTGACTCTAATGGTGCCAATAAATCCTGAACAGGAAGCTTCCCTCATCCTCACCCTCACTTCATCTTTTTACAATACATCACCAGTGAGGCCAACGTGACAGACTTTTGTTTCCAGCAATGGAAGACAAAAGGAGGTGTTCATTAATACAGTTTAACTGCCCCGCTGCGCAAGGAAACTGCTGAAAATCATATTTCTATTCTCCTCGTCATGACAATCACTCTGCACTGAAGGTCCTGCAGCTTTCCTTTTTCTCCTATAAAACCTCACCACTGCAAAGATTTGATCTCCGATTGTTTGAAAGGCTTCGGTTAGACTCCGTGTATCATGCTGCCTATTAAAATAAGTTCAGGTTATGTCGGGTTTTTTTCACAGAGTTAGAGAGACGTTACTACGCCAAAGTCTCCACAATGCCACCAACGGTTCTTTCACATCAGGTCATTCATCTTCAAGGACTCTTCAAAAACAACTGCAGGCCATCTTTATAAACTCCTTCACTCTGAAGCCAAGTGCATAAAAAGAATGTGTACTTCAGAGAGATAGCACCTCCCGCACGATATCTAAAGTATTACAATGTCATATAGTGAACTTTCTGAATAAGAGAAGACCTTATGTTCAGAGTATCGATCGCGGGGCGGGGGTACAAAATGTAAACGCTTCGACCAGATAGATCTGCTGTCACGTTCCTCGGCTGGGGTTTGGACATCAATGTCACAAGCCTCAGCGGGGTGAATGGGGAATCTTAGCTCTCTCATCTGTGTGATTGTTAGAGGAGAGACACAGAATGAATCATCCATCATCCATCCAGGCCACATTCAGCAGGTGCTGTTGCATCATGTCTGCGCTTCATTCATCTCGATGTATGGCAGGCATACCCTTAATCTTGATTAAGACGAACAGGCACAAGACGGTTTCCAACTGTAAGACTTGGTTACAGTATTAACAGAGGTGATCTTTGCTTGTGATGGATAGAGCTTGTTGGTGTTTTGTTGCTGCAGCAAGATTGATTGTGGTGCTGTTTGTTTGTTGGCAGGACTTCCCACAAATGTATCAACAGATATTTAACACGAAGCAGACAGTGTCTACACAACGCTAATGCCAGACAGAACGTCAACATTGAGCAATTCTGCAAAAACCTGGTTTTACGCAAGGCTACAGAAAGAGTGTGGTTCTGGCTAATTAAAAAAAAGTCACGTCACATCTAACACTGTCCATCACCAATGTCAATATAAATTCAAATTCGTGTTCTGGCTCGCTAAACGAAGACTTTGTTATTTCAGGCATTGGAACTTATTTGATGAAATGTGTGAATTTGACGCAGAAAATGTTATTGTTTACATTCACCAAGACTCACACTTCATTTTACAAAGCGACATTAATCAAAGAAAATGATATTGACAAAGGCCCCACCATATCTGTCTGATAATATACTACTCTGCACTATTTCTATTCTATTTTATTTACTTGCACTATCATCTGTTTTATTGTGTTGCACTGTTGGAGGAGCCTGTGCTATATTTTTTTAACTATAAAAGGTTGTTACCACATTTTTTTAAATAAAATTGTTCGATAAGCATGCAGTATCAGTAGAACATTTTTCAGTAATGGTGATTTTGTTTTTGTTTGTTTTGTTCTTCCAGGTGACCAGTGCTGATTCACCAAGTACAGGAAATTCAGCCTTGAGAGAAAGCTCAAAATCCAAAGTGAAGACTTACTGGTCTGAAGGCAGCAAGGCAGTCTCCATCAGCCGCCTGCTGTCCCAGAGCTTCTATGGCAAAGAGAACTTCACCTCTCTGGATCTGAACTATGACGAGGCCGACTCGTTCTCTAAACGGGACCAGTGGAGCTGGCTTTACAACACGTCCAACCCCCGCGACCCTCGATCCAGGACGAAGCGGAGGCCCATCGTCAAGACCGGCAAGTTCAAGAAGATGTTCGGTTGGGGAGACTTCCACTCCAACATCAAGACGGTGAAGCTCAACCTTCTCATCACTGGTAAAATCGTGGATCACGGTAACGGGACATTCAGCGTCTACTTCCGCCACAACTCCACCGGTCAGGGCAATGTTTCCGTTGGACTCGTTCCTCCAACCAAAGCGGTGGAGTTCCAGGTCCACCAGCCGTTCCACCACAATCACCACCATCAGCAGCAGCAGCAGCAGCAGCAGCAGACGGCTCTGGAGACCAAGGACAACAAGCTGTTCAACTGCAGGGTGGAGTATGAGAAGGTGGAGAAGGGCACCAGGAACTCGCTGTGTGCCCACGACCCCTCGCAGAGCTGCCCTCAGGAGCAGACCCAGAGCCACTTGTCCTGGCTGTGCTCCAAGCCCTTCAAAGTCATCTGCATCTTCATCACCTTCTACAGCACCGACTACAAGCTGGTGCAGAAGGTGTGTCCAGACTACAACTACCACAGTGACACCCCCTACCTCCCCACCGGGTGATCACAAGACCAGACAAGGACAAAAAAAAGAAGAAAAAAAGATGCTGGGACAGACTGTCGGATCTTGAGCTATGTCAGATTATTTGAATGAAAATGAAGTCAAGACACTTGAAACTTGGCAGGTATTATTACAGCTAACATATCCTTGATGCAAGACTGATATTGCTCCAACGAACAGACCCACCCAGAGGTCATTAGGAGAGCATTTAGGGAGGCATTTATAGGCTTGCAATACTCTTATTATATGCATAGCTGCTTACATTGAAAGGAAATTCTCAAGCCAACCGCAAAAATATGCTGATTGTATTTATGTAAATATTGTGGGTTCCACAAAAAGCCCAGAAAACAATTTTATTAATGTTTTCTCCTGCTAATTTGGTTGTTTATGTTGATAGTGCATTTCCGTCTCAATCACGCTTTCTGTCTTTTCCAATCAGTCTCTGGTAATCATTGCAAACACGTAAATGTCAATGCAAATAAGAAGAATCTGTCAGTATGCATTAGAGTGCATAATGGAAAAAGCAAACATATTTTGAGTGGTGTTGTTTTCTGCAGTGTGATTGTTAGAGTGAGTATACCTCTCCGATAGTGTTGTTGGAATCTCGTCCATTTTCATGCATGAACCAAATGTGGTAAACAGCTGAATAACGTCCACCTATATTTCCATGTTATTGCAGCTGTCAGAAATAATCCTCATCATGTCACCGGAGAAAAAAAAGGTATAAAAGTCTTTCTATTTTGTGTATTGTGTTAGCAGTTCTTAAGCCACAGCAAATGACACCAATGGAGGCTCAAAGTCAAACACAAGCAAGTAAATGTGGTAATAAATAAATAAATACAACCTGCAGAAGACACAACATTAGAGAGACACACACGATCCTTCTTTTTGCACTGCTCCTTAAAAAATAAACGTATGTGTACTTCTGTTTTCTTAGTCCTGCACTTCCATTTTAGACGTTTAGCCTGCTCTTTTTCATGACTAAAACAAGTCGAGTATAATAACCGTAACTCCTGCCTCCCTAAAATAACAAGCAGAGATGACAGCGCCACAACATCCCTGCAATATCCAAAAATATCTGTACACCTTGGAGTAATCATTTATAAAACGTGCTGAATTATGGGAGACAAACAGGGTCAAAAGTGTTTCAAAAAGTTAAAAAATACAAAATAGAAAGAGGCAACATTGGTGTTCATCTAAAAAAGAACAATGTGAGAGGTAGTATATTGTGTTTTCTGCTCCAGAGGAGACACAACATACACTAAACAGCAGGAGCTAATCACACATTCCACCTATCTAACATTTGCACCTCTGGTTATCAAACAAAAAAAGAGAAATTCTGGATGAGACTAACACTGGCTGTTAATGATATTGGATGCTCCAATTGGCTATTAAACCTTCATTACATAAATTGGGAGCCACTGGCTCCATGTGAAGCATTTAGAGGGAATGAACACAGTGAAAGTGGGAGCTCTGCAGAGTCAACACCATCCAAAGAAGGAATTAAAGTGCCGATGGAAAATCTGTAAAAAGAAAAGCACAAATGTGCACCTAGGGGCGCAATCACTGCTGTCTATTTAAATTCAGTGCTCTGACACAGTGTACGCTATGGTATATGCAACTCAGTAACTGCTAATGGCAGCCTGGACGACATCCAATATGCCAACATGGGGTGTATTTTCTGACAAGGCAGGCCAAAGAATAGGGGTCTGCCTGTGGGATGAGTGAGCATAAAGAGGAATTTATGATGTGGAGGAACAAGGCTGGCAGAAATCACTGGAAGCACCTGACTCGTAAATTGAGAGCATGTTTCTGTCACCCAGAAGAAGAAATGACTAATGTCTCAGATTGCTGTTTGGGCCAGTTCTTTCATCTCAATAAAGTCACTTTGATATCCCTCCCCCCTACCCAAATGTGCCAGGGACAGTTTGTTCAGCTTCAGAGAATTAAAGCAGCACTTTGCTGAAACAATGCAGCCTCATTATGCACATAATCTTACAAGTGTAAACAGTCTGGCACGAGTGTTTGGGTGTGAGAGCAACTATGAGATGGATCTGTGCCCGACTGATGCTGTCTGAGGGCAACAGCAATGTACTGTGTTGTGTACAAGCCACATTATTAATGGACAGATTTATTCACAGATATCATTTAAAGCTACGCTACACAATCCTTAAACAGCGAGACAAATGACTTACGTAATGTGAATTGTGTGACAAACTCACACGTTGCTTTTGCACGATGCTGAACGGCGTTATAACATCTTTAAGCTCATTGTTTTGGTTTTCATGGCCCACAATTTCACCGTTTTGATTCACTCTCATCGACCCCAGCAGCAGGCAACTGTTTTTACAGGAACGCTCTCTGTACGATTACTGCCCAGCACCAAACTGACAATGTTAGCTACAAGCTAGTGAACATAATGTCACGTTTAGCAGCTAAAGAGGCTGATAATTTCCCTCGGGAGTTGGTAGAAAGCAAAGGAGTGTGAATATTTGACTTCAATTTGCAAGGTGGCCAGAAACACCCACGAATACTAACATTTTTCTGTATCTGCGTAAATGAAAATGTTGTCAAACTAATGAATAAATGCAGGCTTACTGTAAGAGTTTGAACATTTTCTTTGTAAATCAGCATTTTATGTGTTTCTAATCTAAAAGTAAGAGATACTGTAGCAGCAGATATCATGCTGTTTTACTCCAAACTTTACTATCAAAAACAATATTTAGCATTTGGAAGAAATTAATACCTTAGATTTAGTAGTTTAGTCTAGTATTAGTCCTTTTATTAAAATATCTATCAATCAAATGGGAGGGAATGTAAGTTCCAATTTTATGTTCTGGCTTTAAGCGCTATGGGCTAATCTTTTGTTAACTTTCAGATCACTGATCGTACCTTCAATTCCACTTAATTTGACGATTAAACAGGGGGGATGTATAAAGAAGAGATATCTAATTAAAAAAGAGATGTAAGATCAATCCAATCTTAAATCTAATAACTTAAATTCAGATGCAAATCTCTGTCTTGAGAGTAATTTACCAAAAGTGGGAGAGGACAGCTTCTTCTTTAAAAGCCAACATTTCTTAAATTATGTTAATCTGAAAGCACCAGTTTATCCAGAAACAAGAAGAACCTCCAAGGAATGGTAGGTTTATGTATGAATGAAAGCGACATCATTACAACCCGGCAGTGTTTGAACGTCTAAGTTATCTTCGGGTCCAGATCTTCTCCCTCGGTTCAGTCGTCCTGGGCCGGAGCCATTCATGCCTGCCGTCTCTCCCCCAGCTCGCCCACAATCCCTGATTAATGTGGTCTGGGCGGGAGCTGTCAGAAATGGCAGAGAGAATCATGGGATTTCTCCTTCAGAGTCCCAATGACACCCAGCAGCTGCAGGAGTAAACAGATGACTAACCACTGGCCTTTTGGCAGCCTGTGGAGATTCACACGGAGGGAGGGCTGTGAACGCCGTTTTGACATTTAGGTGGATTAGAAGTTCTTGGGTTCTGCTCTCGTGGTGTCAGAGGTGGTTGGCATAGTAATTATTTGCGTCTTGATTTTTCTCCGCTTGACCCCCAATCGCAGTGAAAATGTACAGATTTGTTTTTCTCCCACTTACAGACAAGTGAAATAGTTATTGTAAAACATCCTTACGAGCCTCATTTACAAGCAAATCACATTTTGTTTGCACTGCTACAGAGGAAACAATACGTGTCTTACAACAAGCAATTGTCATTTCATATCATGTGCTGCTGCAGATTTCATTTCAAATATGGGGCTGAAGTTGTCCTGGGGCACAGTCTTGTGTGAGGTATTGACATATTAAAGGCTCCATCAGACAATGGCTGGTGTTTTTTTTCCTCTTTTTTTTCAAATCACAAATAAATTACTCTCCTCAAAACACTTTTACTCCGCCGGAAATGAAAACTCACTCGTTGTGAATGTCTCATATCAGGTAAAAACTGGAGAGAATTAATTAACCTTTGTCATTTTAATTGCTTTAGTGACAGCTGTCCTTTGGTACCAGAGCTATCCTAATGCACATACTGTGGGCTTGTCAATTACTTTCCCAGTGAATAGATTAAAACGCCACAGAGGATAGAGTCATTTCATTAGTCAGACTTAATGCCCCCCAGACATAACCAGGTACGAACACTTCGCCCTAAATATGCAGAAAAATGAACAATACTATTAAGCCTCTATGAATCGAATGAATGTGGCAACATGGAATTAAGTTTACGCTCTATTTAACTCTGTCCTATTGCTATTATTACATTTGGTATACAGATTTCTCTTTGGAAAATTGTGATAAATAAGAATGTTTTTAGGCTTTTAATAATGGTCTCACAGACTGAAATGCGGGGAACCTGCGTGCATGGCGCAGCTAATTGCTCTAATGGATGTTAGAATCGTAACGCTGTCAATTCTTATGGTTCTGGATAATGGCTGACAGCAGCGACTGTCTAATTCTCCCATTTTGCTCTTTGCACATCTATGATCTAATGCTCCTCAGCTCATCATGAATCTGAAAGGAATGAGGCCGCTTTCAAATATCTGTCAGCTGGATGTCTCGGCTAATGCACAAATCTCCACTGTTTAGCACATGATATGAAGACAGGAGGCACATCATCAGGCTGCTAAAACCTCTTCTTTGACGGACGGGGAGGATTTTGGCAGATACTCGTGCATGTATGAGTATCAGGGGCACTGTTATTCAATCATAATGAATGCAAAAATATTAAATAAGCTTACATTCTCAAGATTGCTGATGTTACAGAATGTTAAGAAATAGTAAGGAATTCAACAATTACAGATAAAGGGTATTGTGCTTTACTGAACATCTTCAGGGTTCACTATAGCACAGATCCATCATGGGTTTACCTTAACCTGGACCAAGGGGTGGAAAACCAACACAGACATTTTCCACTTGAAATGTGTGACAGTTTTGAGGTAGATTGGGTCAAAATTGCAATATTTGAGTATTGGTAAGTAACAGTATTATGGAGAATCATATTAACAGTGGGCATAAGCAACCAACTGTCTTTAGTTGAATTTGAACCCAGATGTTTTATCTAACAATGGGTATTGTGTTAAGTTAACTCAAAATTACATTAGGTGGCTATGGAACCAGTGGTTTCTAAAGTATTTAATTTTATATTTATATGATTTGTTAGTACTGAAACAGTTAATTGAAGAAAATAAATATTCTGATCAATTAATTGTTTCAGCTATGTTAGGGCTGCAACTTATTAGTTCTGCTAAAATATCACAAGCATTTGAAAAATATATGCTCATTGCAAGTTAACCGAACCTCAAGGTGATTGTTTTTTTCTTCTGGCACACACCCAATCCTATTACACTTTCAATGAGATAAAACTACACAATTTTTGTGTTTGAGAAGCTGGAAGCAGAAACTATTCAGTATTTCTGCTGGAAGATTGACTTTAAAGATCCAAAATTCTTTCCTCAAGTAATAGTTTCAACACTTATTGAGACAATTGTATCCATTTTGTCGACTTTCAAAAAATGTGCATAAAATGGTGTACTTTAGCATATAACCCGTATCTATCCTTAAACATAAAGAATTTGGAGGTAAAAAATTAAAGTATGTAATAATAATGTATCAAGCAGGAGTGTTCAAGCTTCCCAACTGTTCCACAAATTGCTGTTTTCTCCGTTTTATATGGTTGTAATAATTTTAATATCTCTGGATTATGGACTGTTCAACAAAACAAGTGATTTGATTTTGTCTCCTCAGGCTATAGGAAATTGTGTTGGACATTTTTTTTCAAAACCTTTTATGGACTATGATGATAAAATGACAAATAATTAAAAGCAAATTAAGAGATTGATTAATTGTTAATAAAAATAACAATTAGTTAAAGGCCTTAACAAATCTGATTATAGGAGAAGCTAATCCTCTTTAACTTTATACAGGGTCGTTTGTATCCTTTAGAGTGAGTACACAGGTGCAGTTCTTCTGTATTTGTACTTTATGTTTCATGAAATTGAACATTTGAAGAGTTAATGTATGATATCATTGCTTTTAAAGGCAAGCATACTGAAGAAAATGTAAGTGTTTTTATGCTTCTAAAACCTTCCTGTTTCCAAAATAGATGTTAAAATGTTACAAATATATATATATATATATATCCTTTATTTAACGGTAAAATAAATAACTTAACGAAATGATTTACTGTAACTGATAATATTAATGATAATGCGTCCCTGCAGAACATTGCTACCTTTGTCTTCACAATCTTAGTACTAAGTTGTATTTGTTAATCAGGTTTCTCATCAGTCTTGTATTTTGGGAGGAGGACAGGGAACATCAATGTGAAGTTTCAAGTCTTTTGAAATGTAGGTTTAATAAACCAAACGCACAAGTATTGATGTCAAAGGTGTGTTTGCATTTCACAATGACATGAGATATAAGAGGATTACATGGCTCATGAATATGGCCTGTTTCTATCCTCTTCTTTTGCTATCAGACATCTTCATCTCTATCCATAACAGCTTGTCGAACGGCACAAAGACTGATGTGCTCGTCTCTGAATACCTCCGATTTAATTTCAGTTAAGAAAAATAAGAAAATTGTTGTCTGATCTGCTGAAAATAAGTGTGTGTGTGTCTGTGTGTGAGTGTGTGTGGTCCTTTCACAAGCAGCTGCATCTCACAAAAAGAGCAGCTAGTTTAAAATCTATTTTTATGTCACATAATGCTGTCAGTGTATATTCCTTGAAACAACAGCAGAAAGAGGTGATGATTACTGAATATCACCTTGTCAAAAACCTCACAGCTGTATGGAGGTAGGTGATGCTATTTATACTAAACAAAGACACAATAAACACACTTATATTCTGATCCATAATTGACATCTTCAAAAGTTCAGTCAAAATCACCAAGGTGTTAATCTTCACCAACAACACCTGGTTATTTGTGTCGAAACATCAAGGATTTGCAGTCAGTGTTAATTGTGAGTTCCCATACGAAAAGCTGTCCACATGATGAGAAGACTATTTTCCCATGTCACAGCCCAAATATATAGGAGAGTTTTCCTTCACCGTCCTGCCTTTAAAACAGGCTGGCAGGTAAAACAATCAGGGCCAGCCTGCACCGCGCCCGGGCTTCGTTTGCCATTGATTTATATCTTAAACAACCTCTCCTGGTGCTTCCACTGCTAAAGGTGAGACGCACAGCCAGTGTTTGTGACAGAGATGGACTAGGTGCGCTGGCAAGAGAGAGAGGGATGATGCGGTTTTAAAAAATGCATCACCATTAAATCAAAGAGTAACCTTGAATGAGTTCAGGCCAGTGCTGGCATGGTGACACGCTCTGCCCTCAGCGTTCGGTGCCACGGAGCATGCCAAACAGCGGGGAGAGAGAGAAAGCTGCAACGCGGTGATACATGTTAGAGCGGTGGTGCTGGGTAGCAGGCCAGCTCCACGCAGACCAAGGGCACTCACAGTGACATTGTGTCCAAGTTTGAGCTCAACATGTTGGAGACAAACGTATATAGTCTGAGAGAAGGTGATGTCCTTGCAAACTGCCATGGAAAAGTTGACAACAAAACCTTGTTATCACTTGAACTTGTGAAAAAATCTGTGCACAGATGGTGCAAAAAACAGAAGTTCAACATTCGTGATACCTGAAGTTTGACTAAAACCTGCTCTGACCTTTTTCTCTTTGTCTCATAATCTTGCTTATGTGTCCAATAAAATGAAAAATGAAAAGGGTTTAGGGTAAAGAAATGTTTTCATAATGAGAAAATACCTAATGTGAATATGAGATTACTTGTATTATTCCTGTGCGCTGCAAGGCAAACTCCCCAAGCTATTACATGGGTTTGAGCAGAGCAGACTACAAAGCATTAGAGTGTAGCCTAGAGGAGGAAAAATTAAACCCCACTGGTCCTTCAGCTACAACAGCTGAACTTTACATATTACTCGCTCATGCAGATTACTAAATCAAGGAACTACATTTATTTACGCTTTTTAATAAAGCACTAAAGCCTCAGAGGAATTTCTTTTTAATAAGACGCCTGGTAAAATGGCTATGCAACTGCCGAGTCCCTCTAAAGTACCCATATTTCCAGTAAATAACGTCTTCTGGGCGGATGCCAGTGCATGAGGACAGACTGAAGTAGTGTGCATATATTAGACATAAAAATGTGTTGCAACATCCTTTTAGATTTGATTTCTGGGCAGAAAACTATTTGCGGTATATAACTTATTTTTAAATCTAACTTCCTCTCCACTTCTCCCACATTCATTGAGACATGTCATCCATCTATCTCGGCCTGCGGCTGCAGTAGTTCCTCGACCATGAGTGGCTGCTGCAGCGGGGCTGTATTTCAGCATGTTGAAGTGCATGGAGAATTCCCATGAAGGGTAAGGGATTATGGATTTTGGCCTCTAAGCTGCCTGGATGCCCAGTGAGGATGTCTCTGAGCGTAGTAATCTTCAAACACCACGCAGAGTGATGAGTGGGCACTGAGGACTTCTACTCAGGATCTAAATGTGTTCCAGCAAGTTACTGGTGAGAGAGAAAGAGATAGAAAGCGAGAGAGAGAGAGAGAGAGAGAGAGAGAGAGAGAGAGAGAGAGAGAGAGAGAGAGAGAGAAAACACCATTTGGTGCAGAAATGGAAAGGATCGACGCAGTGGCTCCTTCAGGCGAAAAGAGACACTTTTGATCCTGTGACCCGTTTTTGAGCTATAGTGTGTGTCGAAAACTCGCGTCGAGCAAGGGATCACATTGGAGTGGTGCAAATGTAAATGTCATGGTTCTCCATCACCACACATAACTGCGAATGGAAAAAGTCAATTGAGCAATTTTTGGGGTCGGGTCGGGCACTCTCCGGGGGCTGCAAACCTTCATAATGAGGGCACGCTCAAGTCTGGTTTAGACTGTGTGTCCCAGAAAATATGCTTGCCAATCTGGCATGAGCTGGTGTACAGTTTGAGAATGAAAGAGTAGGCTCGGAAATACAAATAACATCTCACAAATGAAGCACAGAACAAAAAGTAGGAGTAAGGAAATGTCAGAGAAAATCAATAGTGACGCACGTCCCTGATCAATATCGGAAAGGAATTTCTCTGACTCGGACTTGATTGAATTAAACCCCCAACAGCATCACTTAATTTAAGGCCCTGATTGTTTTCCTGTCTTATTTAAGTGAACTCAAATTGCTTTGATACCATCTTGAATGTGGAGATAAGGTGGGTAAGTGCAGGAGGGGGATCAGATGGGGTGAAGGACACCAGTCTTCATGGAGATGATATCCTCTCTTCAAGAGACGCGTCTATCTACCTGCTCGTATCACAAGCCTTGAGATGCAGTCAGAGGTCAGGGATGGAAATGTGCACCGGCATGCTGGAGAACTTCCTTCGGCGAATCAGACTTTATTACGGTACCAAAAATGCAAAATAACCCACTGTAAAAAACATGCGTGTTTCCGTGGCGCACAGAGGGTGGAAAGTGACCTCAGGCTGTTCAGGATCAAAGGGTTCAACATTCCTTTGGTGATAATCAAATTAAGTCTGCAAAGCTCAACATAAAAAGCATTTTCCAAATATAAATACACATACCGCTCTTTACACGTACTCCAGTTTACTGATCAGTTAAATTGTCTGCATGCTGCTCACACACTCCTCCTGACAGTGCAGCACAAATACTGTCCAAGGCAACAAACAGGTACATCAATTTGGAGCATGACAAGAAATTCCCTTTAGGTGACAACAAAATGTACATGCTATTAGATCAGCTGCAGTATAGTGTGATGAAATAAATTGAAGCCAACAGATGAAAGCTCGGGGGCCTCACACGGGAGAGAGGAGACTATTAAAGGTGCACTTCCCATCTTTTTATGTTACACTGCCATCCTTTGGACAGATACAGAACTAAGCACCGCTAGAGGTTTCATGAGCTGAGTGATGGTGGTCTGCACCAGGCTGTTGGAGAAACGGGATGTTGCAATTTTGGTGCAATTAGTAATTAATTGAAGGAGTTTAATTTACCATTGTTTGAATATGGATGATTGCTTTACTACTATTTATTCTGATATGTGATTGTATGGTGCTATAATGACAATACTGCCACTCTTGATATGATGACAGCTATTTGAAGTCATGTACCATTTGCTTTATTTAGCTTTAGCCATCAATTATTATAATCTTGTACCTTCTTTATCTATCTGTGCCTAAACAGACACTGAGGGGTTCATTAAATGCTTATTTTATTGTAGCCTATCTAATTTACATAACGTAGAATTTTTAATTTTTTATAATTATTTTCTGATTGAATTTTTCTCAATGACATCTTCAAATGTCCTAATGCTTTGTACCATGTAAAGCAAGGTGGTTTAAAGAAAGTATATGTATTATTATTATGATTAAGATTATAATTTTATTTTGTATGTCGGATTATCATTATTGTTTTGCTAGTCCACAACCGCACGAGACAATCAGTGTTTATATTAGTAATATCTGTTTGCACGAGACAAACATCTGAACGTGATGCGCGCGGAATCAGGGGAGCGCCGCTGATGACGTCAGTTGCATGCAGAAGTGAACGAGCAGCTGTGTACACACACACACACACACACACTACAGCAGGGCCTACATCCAAAGCTGCAGCGCGAGCAACGATGGCAGGAATATAACGACATTTCATTTAATACATATAATCAGGTACGTGAGTGATATTCCCTTATTTTCTGATTTGATATACTCATTTATATCGTGATATCTAAAGGCGACGCTTCGTCCGTTCAGTGCGCTACAGCAAACCAGGCTTTGTGTTTATTCTGGTGCGGCGAGGATGTATTGTACTAGTATTTATATAGGCTACGTCATTATGCGCTGGTTCATTTACCTCGAAGTGCATATGAATCTAAAAGCATTTTTTCCTTCCTTGTTATAAAGGTGGCGCGTTCATCACATCCCATCATCACATTAAAATGAGTCGTGAAGACGCGCGAGCTGTTTGTAAAATAATTAATTATTCATGTCAGCTGATGGACGGCAGGGTTTGCACTTCTGGAAAACATCCGGTTACTTAGTCAATGTTTTCAAATCCTCACTCAAAAGCTGAACATCTACTCGGTTGTGAAATTGTCTCTGGTTAATGGTCTAATTAATGGTTAACACACCAGGGAGGAATGGTAGAAATACAAAATAAACCTCATCACACCTTGTTGAGTCAGACAGGTCAGATATCACATTGTGCTCCAGCCAGTGAGTTTGAGTCTCTTGCTTAAGGTGTTCAGAGGTGGAATAAGTATACTAATTGTTGAGGTACTTTTCTTTGTAGTTTCCTTTTGAAGCTACTTTATATTTCTACTATTCTACAACATTATTTTCTTCGCTTTAACTAACTAATTTAACCAAGTATCCATCATATTCTGCAATGTACAAAGTTAGACACAAAGCAAAAAAAGCTGCAATTGATTTATAACAATAAGCGTTCTGCTGAGTTTTGTTTGCTCAAAATTTGGCAAAATGTAAAAGAAAACAGTGTTACCACTGACCCTGGTATACAGTAGGTACATGTTCCTCACTACATCTGCTATCCATGAGCTATTTCATCCACTCCGCTTTCTCCACAGGAAATCTGCAAAAAATGGAGAGAGGACATTTGTGAGTACATATAAACTTTTGTGTTCACACTATTGTTCATACCAATCCATGAGGTTATACAGCAACAGTCACAACATTGGTTCATCCTCTGTGTCATTGCAGTGGCTACTCCCAAGACTATCTTGACCGCTTTATCCAAAGCCAAGACTCGTCTGTTGTGAACAAGTTCCAGCAGAAGTACTGGAAGACAAAACAGACACTCATCAAGGTCACCGGGAAGAAAGAGGACGAACACGTTGTGGCGTCAGATGCAGAACTGGACGGCAAGCTGGAGGTGAGGAGGAATATGAAAATGTGGTAGTTTTACTAAGTGACTAAGGGAACAGAAAGTTAGGCCGCAGTCGCATCACAGAAACATTAAGACACAGTGGGGAAACTTCCCCTCAGGCACTCTGCAGTGACTTAAATGGCTTTTTGATTCACACTATGCTAGGATTAGCTTGAGGCTTAAAACGTACATTAGGCTGCCTGTCCGACCGCCATCATCTAAACCTCCATTTCAGGAGCGAAGTGAGTTTAATGGCTGAAATCGATAGCTTATAAAAGCTGAGAAAACAGCTTTAATTTAGGGCAGGGCCTCGATGAGCGCTGTGATAAACTCAAATAACTTCATGTTTTTAACCTTTATGTGGCATTTTAATACTTCTATGTTTACCTCATAAAAGGCTTTAGGTTGCTCGAATTCACTGGTAGATTGAAATCCTTGAAATTAATGTAGTATTATAGATTTAAGGTGATATCTGTGATCATATTCAGGCAATGTATGCACGACTTGCTAAACTGAGCATTACCCCCACAATGATCAGGCATTTTGATTTTAAGCTGATTTATTTTACCCCACAGGTTTTTCACTCCGTCCAGAGAACATGCATGGAGCTGCTAAAGGTCATTGAGCAGTACCAGAGGAGGATATGCTGTAAGTATTTTCTCAAATAGAAAATTAATAATAAAAGTATGAACTCTCAACAGAGTGCATGCAAGCCCATATTCCATAAACATCAGTGCTCCATGAAATGCTTTGTTAAAGTGCTTTAGCATGTAAATATGTTATTATATTATTAACATTTTAACTTCAGACACAAAAACATAAATATATCCGTTTCTACCATCTCTACTATGCAGTCCTTTCCCAAGAGGAGAACGAGCTGGGACGCTTCCTGCGCTCCCAGGGCTCGCAGGATAAAACCAGAGCTGGAAAGATCATGCAGGCCACGGGGAAGGCTCTCTGCTTCTCTTCCCAACAGAGGTAGGCAACATGCGTACAATTGTGAGTACATGAAAGATGTGTAACACACATCCAGATCATTCACATAAAAGTTCCAGCTGCACTAGATAAAGTAAAGGTCAGTCATTTTGGTAAACTATCACCCGAAGATATGGTGATGTTACTGAAAATATGGAGTGTTTTAATTGCCCAGCTGTGAACCCAGAGTTAGTTAGAAACTTCAGCCCACAGGATTCGTATAATAAAAAGATCAAAGCAGAAGATGTTTCCTCTACAGCAAAATGACACACAAAAAACCACGATTGGAATGATTAGATTGCTGAATCTGTGCCACACCCTGCTAACTGAAAACAATTCATGGAAACAACCGCACCTAATGACTCATAATACTCAAGTGTAACATTTTCAGGGTCATACCCTTAAAATACAAATGTAAACAAATCTTATTTGTGTCAAGAGCATTGGTAGCTCTTATGTTCTGCTAGTGATTTGGTTTATCAAATGTAAATATAGTAAATATTACTACTTTTCCTTTGTTTAGAACTTTGTGTCTTTACCAAGAGTGATAAACACCATTTGGTTTAACTGATTCTTCAAGGGGTCTATGATTGACTTTACTATTTAATGTTGCCAGACGCCCCTGCTGGGGTTGGAAAATCCTTTCCCCTTGTGGCTTCAAATGATTCAGCAGGCTTTATTACGAACTATAAAAGGTCAAAATTGAATTCAAGATTGTTGACGACATGAGATATGATCAACTAATGTCTAAGACCAAGGCTGTAATGAGAATGTTAAACTACTCACATGCTTTAATTGGATACTTCATTTACACTCTACATCCTTCACAGATTGGCCCTGAGGAACCCTCTGTGCCGCTTGTACCAGGAGGTGGAAACGTTTCGCTATCGAGCGATCTCAGACACGTGGCTGACGGTGAACCGGATGGAGCAGTCCAGGACTGAATACCGCGGAGCGCTGCTTTGGATGAAGGACGTTTCACAGGAGCTGGATCCGGATACTAGTAAACAGATGGAGAAATTTCGCAAGGTTTGTCTTAGGACAGGAGGAAGAGTCAAAGGCCAGACACATTGGCCTTTTTCACAGCAGACATTTTCATATTTTAAAATGGAAATCACAGCTGCAACTAAGAAACATGCGTTTCATGAAGATTTGCTTTTTCCAGTTTTCCAATGAAGTTATTAACGTTGCTTTCCTACTATGACAAATCAATGTCTGATGTGAAAAACATTTATCTACCTGGGCAATCGCTCTTCAAGGTTTTTAGCCTCCACAGAGTTATGAAAAGTTTATTTACTGTATATAGCCCAATATCACAAATCATATTTGTCTCAGAGGGCTTCACAAATCAACAAACACAATTGACAATGTAAAAACAACAAACATATCTTACAAGATAAATGTGAAAATACCAATGAAAAAGGTACATAACACACAAATACAGTTAGAGTACAATAATTAAAATTCCATAAAACGAAGTGATGTCAGAAACCTGCCAACACAGTGTGTGAGAGAAATTCTGTCTGCTCCAACAAGCTATCTGCTGTAGGACTACCCGTTTGTATCATTAATTAATCTTTTAATTATTTTTTCAATTAAATATTCGGTCTAAATAATGTCAGGAAATATTTGAAAATATCAAAGCCTGAAGGAGACATCTTCGTATGTTGGATAAGTATTTCAAATATCACCAGCTAACGGAGTAATTGACTAATCGTTTCAGCCATAATTTGCTGCAGTTCCTAAGGCCGCACAAACAGCACAAAGCAGGACAGATCAAAGTTAAAAACAGCCACTAGAGGGCGGAACACACCATCCAATGCTGGTCTATTGATCAATACCACTGTATCAAGTACCCAGCATGCTCTTTTCTGCTGACACTTGCACAAAAGTCAACTCCACATTTTGTGTTTTCACAGTTTGACCCCGTGTGATACATAATACTGGGTTCTTATCTTCAGTTGGGAAATGTTCTTATCTGTTTTATCTCAGGTTCAGGCCCAGGTGCGCACTACAAAAACAAGCTTTGACAAATTGAAGACCGATGTCTGCCAGAAAGTGGACCTGCTGGGAGCCAGTCGCTGCAACCTCCTCTCTCACGTCTTAACCACATATCAGGTATTCCACAAATCCCAGCTGTTTGCATACACTCCACTGATCTTGAATAGGGTGTTTTCAAAGACTGTGCCACATGCGGTTAAGCCAGGAAGGAAGACAAACATGAAGGGAACAAAGACACTGCATTGGAGATGTAACTGTCAGACACAAGAATGTGAATCACTCTTTCCTCTGTTTTCAGACAACACTTTTGCACTTCTGGGAGAAGACATCCCACACTATGGCAGCCATTCATGAAAGCTTCAAGGGCTGTCAGCATTATGAGTTCTCCACTCTTAAGGTCAGAGAACGTCTTGACCTGAGCAGATAAGAGCTCAATTCAGACACTTAAGTTCTCAAGAATCAGAAACTAACCATGATCAGCGACTTTCTTTCAGACCTTACAAGGCCCCATGGACAAGATCGCTAAGAAAAAAGGGAAGAAGAGAATTAAAGCAGTGGCTGAGGATGGAAAGAAAGCAGAGCCCACAGACGACCAGTGAGTAATCTCATCCTGATCTTTCCTCATGCAGGTAGACCAAACATGTGCATAACGACAGGGACATCTGAGGATCTGTTTATAAACACTGAACCAGCCTGGAAATAGTATCTTACCCAACAGCTGCTTTCTGTACGGGTCAAATGCTATGAACTGATTTGATGTCATCTTTACAGACTCATCTCATTAGAGAACGAAAACGGCGATAAGACCAGAGAAGGTAAAACAAAATGCTACCAAATCTATGTAACTGCAATATGTTTATATGAAATAAACTGCAACTAACAATGATTTAACGATCAGTCTATAAAATGTAAAGCCCAATTTGATGCTTTATTTGTTTTGTCTGACCAAGAGACCAAAACAAAAAAGATATCCAGTTAACTTTAATAGAGCAGTCAAATAATAACATTTGATAATTTAATACAGGTAACTTTTTTTACATTTCTACCTAAAAAACAACTATTAATTATGAATGTTATGCCAATGAACTAATCAGCTCTTTCTCATTAAGACATATCAAGATAAATGTAACACCTATGCCCCCAATGTACCAATGAAAGCACAGAATACTGTAGATAGTTTTGGGCGAGAATGAGACACAAGTTAATGCAGCCAATTAACAGAGAAATGTTCTGTAACATCACCATATTGTTATTCGTCATTGCTTACTCTGACCACTGTGTCTGATCATTACAGGGCATGGAGATAGTCTCTCTGCCTACTTAGAGTTCGAGGGAGAAGAGAAGGACAACATGGCGTTGCTGAATGAGATCCTGGGCAGTACGTCCGTGGACGAGGGCGACTTCTCCAGAGAGTGGACCGAAGTGTTTGGAGACATGGAGGAGGGATCAGCATCAGGCCGAGCAGCCGAGGCTCAGCAGAAGGAAAACTCCTTCTTTCTACCTTCTCATTTATTGGACCAGAGCTTGAATAATCTGCAGTCTTCCCTCTCAGGTCAGAAATAATACTTTGTGTGCATGTGTGCTTGTGTGAGCCAGAGAAGAGGGACATGTTGGGCTTTTTAGATGTATCTGAAGGACTACTTGTGGTTTTCTCCATCAGGGAAAACTGGCTAAAACATTTAAATTAGCCACCCTTATCCTAATTTAAATATTAACTTATATTACTGAAACTAAATAATAAGCTATATTGTTTTACCATGAATGAGTGCATTAACCAAAATAGCTACTTATCCCATTGTAGCAAACTATTTCCACAAATGGAAAAGAGTGGATTTAAACTGATTCATGCCACACATCTGTCAATGTAATGGAATAAGGCTATAACAAACTGGCCTATAGATTTGCTTAACTGTAGGTAGTTGCCAACTACTTTCCATTTCCTGTGGGCCTGGGCAATGGCTGCTAGCACCTCATCTGGTTTTGTTAATTTGGTTGGAAGGATTTTGAGTTGCCTCACTAAGACGACGTAAAAAACCTACAGTATGTTTGTGTGTATCCCCTGGCTTTTGTATAACAGTCACCAAGGTAGTAGTTTAGAAAGTGTGTGACATTAAACTATAGTTCCCGCATGATTTAGAGTCAGTTGTGAAGACATGCTAGGAAAAAAAGGAACAATGGGGTTTTTTTAAGCAGGGAAAAAGCATATAGTGTTTGGGATCTGTGGCAGGCAAGATGGCAGAGTTTTGAAAGAGAGGCTGAGAGCCCGGCTGGTCAACAAAGCACACTGAATGTAATAGTGGTTACAGATTGAATTCCAAATGGCAGACCCCAGGGAAGTCACAATTACAATATTAGGTCCCAGGAACTGTCAGAGTTCAATCAGAGCTGCGTGAATGTACAGAACTTGCAAAAAGTATAGATTGATTTTAAAGCACTGAATGAGCATAATGCTAATTCAGCTGTAAACAGTCAGGCAGCAGTACACACAGGCAGGGACTGACAAAATAACTTTTGACAGCGTGCAAGGCAAACATCAGGCGCAAGCTAAAAACTCATTTAACACTTACAAATCTGACTTCTCAAAACGTATCGTACACCTACTGATCAACATTCAAATGAAGTTTACTGTTCTGGGTAAAAGTGCAGGGAAGACTTTGTTCAAGAGGGCTTGATCTTGAAAACTAAATGAGGGTTTTTGCTGTTATTAAAGATATTGCAAAAACAACATTGCAGAAAGCATCACATGGGCCTGGCCTCCATTTCACCTAAAAACATTAGAGCCCAAAATATGCAAATCCTTGAAAGAATCTGATTTTAATCATACAGCCCAAACAGCAAGATCGAAAGAAAAATGGCTTCAGACCAAGAATGTGAAATAAACCACAACAAATCTTCAAGGAGGAAAATCCCTAAATATTCACATGAGTCATGAGACCAGTTAGAGGGGAGCTGCATGTACACATGAAAGCTTCAAAACTAAAACTATTGAAAGCATTTCAGCAGGATTTCATATTTAAAAATGTTGATGGTGTTATTCACTCATAATTCCTGCTTCAACATAAGGTCTTGCTGAAAATGTCAATAAGAAGGGTACAGTGAAAGCAACACTATAGAGGGTGCTGGAGTTGAAAGTCTATATTGCACTAATACAAATATCTAAATGATTCAAAAGGTTATTTAGTCATTTAAGCCCGTTTGACTCTTTTGTTTGTATTTGGCGCATAGATTGTTGTTACAAAACACAACTGCACATTCCAGCGCTCTCCCTGGGGGCCTTTAGTGTTGCTACATACTGTATTCTCTGGATCCACACAAGGATAAAAGACAAATAAATGTGCCTGAAACAAGACCTCAAAGTTGTAATTGTAACTTCTGCCATGTATCTATTAATCCCCTAATATGATTTTGCAGTGATAAATGTTTAGAATATTTCTGTTTGTTGGTCTATTACACGATATTCTTGCACATCAGCGAAGTGTGATGATTTATTTTGTGGATCATGCTTTGGCACGTTAAGCGATTAATCTAAAAATGTGCATCGTGTTCATTTCAGATCGGGCTGGGATCATTCCACAGCCCGTCGCCCAGGCAACGCAGCACTCATCTGGATCCAATCAGGACGCTTCTAAGGCAGCAGTGAAAGGTAGGGCCGAGCCAAATGAGTAAAACAGAGGAAAGAAAAGATTAATTCAAAGAGACGTGTTCAACTGAAAGCTGTGATTATGGGGACTTTCAGAGTTTGTGGGGCTTTTTCATTCATGGTTTCGTATATTAGCCGACGCAGTATTTAAAGGCAGGGGTTATTATTTATTTTTCTTAGCCAAGGACTGCTTACAAGATAAAGAATAACTGGTAACTCTCATTAATGTCCCTTGGAATAATTGTATGCAACCTATTCCTTACTGTAGTCTTAGTTATGTGAAATAACTATTTTTAGAATGAAAATAAATTTGAATTAGTTTTAGATTTTAAAAATATACATATTTATCGAATGATAAATTCTCTTTGTATTAAAAAAAGTATACATTTTAAGTCAAGGGAATGGCCCTCACTGGTGTTGATATTTTCAGGTGTGTGTGACAGTTACCCTTCTTTACTCGTTTCACAGACAAAGCGGGGACGTCAGCAGACCTCTCAGCGTGGTTCAACCTGTTCGCCGACTTGGACCCGCTCTCTAATCCAGATGCTGTTGGCAAAACTGACCTAGAGCACGAACTTCACAACGCCTAGTTATACGACCAACACATGGTGATCTGAAATGGGTTCCTTTGTTGGTTGGTACAGCAGAATATCACTTTCACCCACACACACACACACACACACACACACACACACACAAAATAGTCTTCTCTTGAGGCATCAAGTAGACATTCTGCCAATCATGAAGTCAATTAATCAATAAACAGATAACTCACCTCAAACTCATACCCAAATATTTGTGGCGATTTACGAAATATTGAAGCAAACTTAATATCTTTGGGTTTGGACAGTTGGCTAGAACACAATATAACAACCAGTGGAATGGGTGTTTTCACTAAATCCAAAAAGTTAAATCTTAGAATTAAAAATAAATCACTAGTACTTTTTGTTAAACCACATACACACTAATGGTCCCTTATTATAATGATAGCTTCTTTATAAAAACAAACAGACAAAGAGGCAGGTACAAGCTTTCACAAAATGCCTCATCATTACAGTATCTTATAACGACATGTATTTTGTCATAACAGGAGAAATGTCATAACAGGTCATTGATCAGATTGTTTCTCTTGGTGGCAGTATTGCACTTCTAACAACTAGCAGCTGTAGTTCTTCCCATTGTGAAGACAAGAAAGATTTACAAGTTTGCCTCTTCTGCTTTGGTTAAAAATAAAAGGTTTATCATCGATACCTCGGTATGAGATCTGAAACAAGAAGCCTTCTACATTTGCTGCCTTGACATCTGTAGTCTCTAGTATCATTCTCCACAAGTCCAGGTGTTAACGAAATGCTGCAACATAGTGAGAAACGTTAGTGATGTCAGGAAGAAATATTCAAAAATAAACTGATACATCATTTATTCAGCCAGCGATCGTCCTCCACTGAGAATCATTTGCAACTATTTCACAAAGCACTTCAACAGGTGGACTAAGAGCCAATGTTTCCTAGACATGTATTATTTTGAAATGTGTTTGCTACATGCTGTCTTTGTTAAGCTCTGTTGAAGATATTGCAGAATATATAAACATATCATTCCTGTTTTACTGCATGTTGCATGTTATTCAGTAAGTGTCATTGAATGGATAATGCGTGTGTTATTGAGAGACTTTTCATCCATTTATTTAACTCACTCACTTAGCTCCCATTGAAAAAAAGAGGCAATTTTTAGTGGATAATTTCCAGAGCCAAAGTAGACAGAAAGTTGGATAATCATGAAAATACAATCAAGTTGTTCTGATTCACATTACAATGCTGCACACACTAGATGTCCGGTTAAGAGTCTTAATCTGATAACAAATAAACAATATAGAACCTCATCATTATTATAATTGGATTCCTTAGGTATATTGATATTTGTTTTGGTGCAGCTATGATGTTATAAGCCATGTGACGTGTGTTAATATTGAACATAAACCAAATACATTGATTGCCTTACCTTGACTCCTACTTGTACGTAAATGCCATGCTTTGAAATACTGATTCTAATTGTTGATGTGTCTGTCTTTGCTAAGGCCTTTAAAAAGATGACATACCAATGCAAAAAGACTTTTTTTGGTTTTCTTTATTGAAAAACACACACACACACGATCTACATAAAAATGCATTGTACACAAGAGAACTGAGTCATCGTTGCTAAACATGGCAACCATTTCAACTGCACTGCACAATGAGCGTGTGAATCAAATCAGAAAGAGTATGATTGAAACTCTTCAAGCTGCAAGCAGAGGAGAGGATTTCAACGTACTTTGTGCAGAACGTGTTGCATTCTGTTCAAATGTGTGTTTTGGTGAGCGAAGGGCCGACGTTTTGGAATGAAACATTTACAATTGTATCACTCCCATTCAAGTTCACCTGGTCTAAAATAGTCATGCTATTTTAAATAGTTGAGCATGGGCTGGTGATAAAGCTTAAGGTAACGTAAGGGCACATCTGGCTGGATCTGTATCTTGAGTCAAACTGTGTAACTGTTACACAACAATTGTAAGTGTAGCTTTAATACAAACAAAAATCAATTGCACACTAAAGGTCTGATTTTTTTAACTTATAAAATAGTCTTAAATAAAAAATAGTGATTATCATTTCACTTCCAAGTAAGTGCTAAGGCTTCAATGATTATCGCGTTTGTTTAAAACACTTAGAACCAGTGTTTATATGTAGCTAAAATGTTTGTAAACAAAACAAAATGCACATAAACATTCTGCTTCTGGCACAGACATTGTGCCTGTTGTGTCCCAAAGCCAAGACATGCCTGTCTTGGCTTTGCAATTTGCTTTGGTACTTATTTAACTAAGGGGATAATCAGATGACATAACTGTCACCTTCTCAGTTTGGGAGGGTGTAGCTTATGCAGCTAGCTCTGCTAACTCAAGTCCTCACGGTTGACCTATGCAACAGCGTCTCTGGAATGTGTCGTAGCACCTGAAACTCTAACCTGAACAAGTTAACGCAAAAGTCCTCAGTCACAAGGTGTGACACCAATTGGTCGATTCAGTCTCTAATTATCTCCCCCTCGAGTGAAAACACTCAACATTTCTGGAAAAAGACTGGAATGTCTTCAGAAGGTCATACACACCGGGGAAAGGCAACATAGTCCAAGCAAATACATTCCACATGACCAGAGTTATTATTCTGTGTAATGTGGGGCAATAAAACAAGGCAATGGGGGGGTTGTGTGCTTTGTGATTGGTTATTTGGTCAGTGAGAAACGGCTGATATTTTGTGTTGAGCTCATTAATAGTGAGCAGACCAGAAAAGCAGATCTCGGCCTGTCGGCCTGCTGGGTGCAACGCTGAAGCAACTGCTGCTTTCACTAAGACATTGTGCTACAAATACTTTAACATAAACAAACAGGCCATGGCCTGTATAATTCTGAGCCATGTCTTAACAAGTGCAAACATTGTAGTTAATGTGGGGTGATGTACTCCGACTGCAAGGCATCCTGATATACTAAATACATGAATCGTGCATTACCCACCCTGTCAAAAAGCTCACATATATGTGCTTAAGATTATCTTGCTAGCTAACAGTAGTAGAATTTCTCTGATACTTCATAGCGGTCTGTTGTGATGGTTGAACATTTTTCTTTTTTTTGTAATTTAGTCTTGAAAATATTGTCATCTGTCACAATTATTATAGCAGTAGTATTTTGTTTTGCAAGGAAGGCGTAGCTGTTTTTGTTATGGGTGTTTTGTCACAGTACAGAGCAGAAGGCTAGGTTAGTGATGGGTGAAAGGAGGCGGGGCCAAGGTCAGAACACTCCTCACAACGACCAAACCACCGAGCCTGTGCAGCAGGATGCTGGTACCGTTATCCCACTTGGTGTTTGTCCTTTCTCGACCTGGATACTCCCTGCTGGCTAACGTTAATATAAGTGCAAGGTTTTTTTTTGTTTTTAGTTTTTGGATCCATACCACCTAACTATAGCAAGTGGTTTGGTTAGAGATACCTGAGAACTAGCTGGTGAGGACAAGCTGTGCTGAGCCATCTGTCCCTGCCTCTGTGTCGGGGCTCTGGCTCTCTGGGCCTGTGCTCGGGGCGCTGCTCCAGTCAGCCGAGGCCGCAAAGGTAGCTAGTGGTGCGCAGGGCAGAGCTGGGGTCACCTGAGGCCCTGGGCTGTCGTTGCCATGGAGACTGGGGGTGGCGGAGGAGCAGGACGAGGGAGAGACGGGGGAGAAGAGGGAGGTGCAGAGGAGTTTGACAGGGCAGAAGGCCGACCCCCTGGGAATGAAGTTCACCTTGTTTTTGTCGGGGCACGAGAAGAGAGGGAAGCCTTTTGATTTGCCAGACCTAAAGACAAGAGCGTTTGGATTCAATACACCTGCCCTGATCCCTGCCACCCACAATGCTAATGGGCTAATACATTAAACTGTTCTCTTCTTTTGTTTGTCTTCCACACAGGGTGCATGAAAATACACATGCAGATTGTAAAATTTAAATCAAGAAAAGATACTTACACCATCTCCTCGAACACTTTGATCTTCTCACAGCCCTCTGGAGGTTCCCGTTTGAACATGTAGCTGTTGTTAGGTTTGGGAGATGTGGCAAATTTGGGGAGAGGAGAACTGCACAGGCCGTCTGGAAATAAAGTAAAGAATATAACGTAAAGAAAAGGGATAATAAACGGATCAATCTTGCAGCTGCAATCAACTTAGAGAAGGGCTGTGTATCACTTAAATATTTTATACAAGTTTCTAGACAGATACACAATCAATAGGGTTTTCAGTAGCTCGCTTCATGGAATAAAGCGGTTCTTGTCTATAAAAACCCTCGGTAGTAAAGTAGGAGTAGTATTTCTTATTTGAAGTTGGGATATGGCTCTCATTACTGAGTGAGAGCCATCGAAAGACTCACTCTAGTTTAGTAACGGACGTTGTCTGGTTGCCGTTGTATTTGCGCTTGCTGTGTCAGCCATATCTGTAGCTTCCTCTTGAATGCGTGATTACGATTTGGCATCCTGTCACTAACTTTTTACACGTTGGAGCCAAGAATAAATAACTATCAAAATGATGACTCTGTAAGTCGTCACTTTTAGATGCATGTCAGTATCAAAAGATACATAAGCAATAAAAAACTAAAACAAGTGCAAGTTAGCTCTGCAGAGCCCAACTAAATATATGTATTGCTTATACTGTATGTCTTAAGAGCACTGCCTTGATTAAATAGCACTCTGATAACATTGTCAGAGTCATGTTTGACAGTAAAACAAACAAGGTTGCACACTTCCCACGACATTTAAATAGACTTTGTTGTGTAAACTAGTTCCCCTCTAAAGCTGCATGCAGGGCCGGCCCTGACCAATTTGCTGCCCTAGGCAAGATTTTAGCTGATTTTACAAATCACTCCCCTTTCAAACTACATTCTTGTTTATTAATAACAATCTTTTTGTTACTGTCATAAAGTATTTTATACCTGTTTTTCATTTATTCTCTTATTTTTTTATAACTATAATGATCATATAAAGGTGTGCCTTTACCTCACTGAGCTGAGGTTATCAGAGCCTCTCAGCCTTTCAGGAGAGAGCTCTCTAAAGCTCTCCCCCCCCGCGGCCGCTTACACAGTCAATTCCAATGTTAATAAAAGCACACAGAAGNCTGATGGCAGGACATGCCCGGACACATTCCCTCTCCTCTCATTAACAAAACCTCCTCAGTCATACGCAGTGCAGAATACAACATCACAGATTAGTATTTTGATCCAATACAGACTACAGACTATACACAAGTCGAAAATACCTGCACCTTTTTCTCAAATAGGGACTACTTAGTCATAGCATGCTGATACTACTAAACTTAAACTAATGCAGTAAATAGAAAATGTGCTTTACATTTCATTCCATTAAACGTGTAATGTGAGAGGCACCTTGCTTAACCCTGGTGTGTTAATATATATTTATCTTATCCTTAGCAGCTGAGATATGGTTTGGTCTCCATCGTTTATTGTTTACCTTATCACATATCAGCTGTCAGGGTTTACCTTGGACCACCAAAGTCAGGGTTCATTTATGTTCTCACCTGAAAAGAGCATGGCAGCAGTGACTGTGTGTGACCTGGTATGAATAGCTCACCTGTGATGGGCAGGTAGTGCCATGTTGCGCCTGATGCTGCAGCTGCAGAGAGCTCTGCTCCCGGTCTTTGCTCTGACGGCTGACCTGCTTGCTGCGCTGCAATTGCAGTCTCAGTTTAGCAATCTGCTGAAGGACAAGTAAGATCACATCAGAAAATTACAGATCACACCTGTCCTGTCGAGCTCATATTTCAGTAACCAGGGGAATTAGAACTTTTCCCAACAGAGAAGGTGGTAAGTACATTTGCTTCCATTTTGGGTCGCAAACAACTGTTATTTTCCTAATTAATCAACAATTGAAAAGAGTCACAATTAACTAAAGGCCAAAGCTATGTGGGGATTTTGTTTGACCATCAGTTTAATGAATAATATAAAAAAAACTTGCAAATCCTCACATTTGAGAAGCTGGAACTATCAGAAGTTGAATTTATACGTTTTATCAGTTATCAAAATAGTTGCTGATTAATTGTCCGTCGGTAAACGGATGTATTAATGGACTAAAAGCAGCTCTAATCCCATGTGTTGGCCTAAACATTGTTTTATTGAGGTTCCTCCTTATTGCAGCATTTCTGGTGATGCAAGAACTTAGGTCAATGGGTGTTTCTGGCCCAGGATCAGCCTCAAAACAGGATACCATTTGTGAGCCTAACAGTTGTACTATGCAGAAAAAGGTGTGGTCTTCAATGCTGATCTTGTAATCCTGGCAACACAGTCAACAAAGAGACTTGCTCTTTTCACAGACGTCCTCCCACACATGTGATCGCAGAGGTTCAAGAGCTAGGATACAGTTCACTTCATTCATTGAGTGACCGCAGCGCTCGATAATGACAAGTCCAGGCAATCCCCATGTCATCTCAGAGGAAGAGAGAGAGCTTTTCCTGGCTGCGCTATGCTATTGATCGTACTGGCCAAGTCCCTGGGATCGTCTTTACATTCCTCTAGCTGGCCTAGTTTTAGTGTATGACGACATTTATGCTTAAATTTGATTTATCCATTCTGAATTTAACAGTAGGATTTGATGAGATCATTTGCCTGTGAGGGAATAGGTTTTGACTTCTTATGTAGCTGGATCTATTCATGCGTCTCTTTCTGTCTTGTGTACATCTAAACAATTCAGAATTGATTCACAGTAATGCCTTAACAATTAACCTTGGTCATAAAGCTAAGTTATTTAATGAAGGAAGTCCTGTGGGCTGATCTTTAGAATTAAGTCGATTTTTAAAATGTTTTTTTTTAAGTTCTGGTCAATACTAACAAATTAAGATATCTGATCATCCGTGAATATTTTAGAACTAAATATTGATCACTAACAGATTAGAAAACAGTGAAATAGCATAGTGTTGCACAGTGATGAGTAAGGCTTTAAAGTAACATGAGTTCCCATGACGAAGTTCCTTCACTGTAAGTTAAAGCAGGAACCATATGGCCCTCGAGAGGAGCTCCTACACTGTGGCTCAAAGACAAGCGGCCATAATGAGATGCAAGAGTTTCAGTTGAATGGGAAGCGGAGGGGAGAAGGAGGTTACATTTAGACTGTGGCCTGGACAGAGACCTAATAGCTCCATGTGGTCGGGCTGGTTGGCCACTAAGCCATGCAGAGAGACAGGAGTGGAAACCAAGCTTAAGGAGAATCATATTTAGGCTGACCTCAGACACTGACAAATAAAACACATTTTGAATAAATGGAATGAACCACAAAGATGACAAAAACGTGCTCTTTGAACCGAGTGTTTGGAGCAAGTGTGCTCAAGCTTAGTGTCAGACGGTTTACACACTACTCCACTGTGTACATCCTCCATCTGTGAGGCTGTGGTCAGGAGCAGCTGTGACTTTGGGTGAAGCGAGGTTAAGGCTGGTGAATCTACCTCTTTCAGGTGGTCCGCGCTGCCCCAGGAGGCTGACCGCTGGTGAGGACTTCCCTGTTCTGCTCCCTCATCAACCCACAGACCCGGAGTCTGAAAACACATAAATACACATTATCACTAAACCGCATGCTACACAACTCTATTTCATTTCCTCCAACACAGACACAGTTCCTCTGATACTGTACATGCTCCACGTGAACTGTAGGACCCTGTGGCCCCCCAAGAAGCATATCTTATGTTGCACATGCTCACAAAGATAAGTATCTCCTTGAAAGGCTTAACTAACCTGCAGTTTGTGAGATGTGTTTGCATGGCATGGTGGCCTAATGTTTACAGAGATCAGAAAACAAAAGGTCACAATGGAGTCCTTGTTGAGTCTTGGTGCATGTGCCCATTACAAATGTTTTGGTATGAAATGTCTTTATATGTACATGGTTGTCATGAATGTGTTTGCACAATGAAATACAGTTAGGATCAGTGATATATACACACACTAGTTTTTCGCCATTTCAATTCAGATATACTTAAAGTAAACAAAAGCTTAAAGACGTAAGACCTTTCTAAAAATACTGAGAAAGGTGTCGATGAACCAATAAGATGACCTCAGTGTGTGCCTCAGGGTGTGAGCATCCACCAAACCATTTGGCTAAACAGTTGAGAAAGATGTGGTTGAAAGCAGAAAGGAGTGCCGTGTGCTCAAAGTAAAGCTGGAGTCTGGAAACAATGACATTGAGGAAAACAGTCATGAGATACTCTCCCTCGGGAAATAACTCAATTAAAATAGGACAAACAAAAGTCATAGCATTTTTGATTGCTTCCATTAGTAACCCCGGTAAAGAGAAATACATCAGGGCCTGGGTATAAAAACAATGTCTTTATGTAAGGACTAAACTAAGAAACCCAGGTTAACCTTCTTACAAGGACTTCACTATTAGCTGCTGCTGGTCTCCAACTGTTCACCTTAAGTAAGTCTATAAATAAGTTTGAACTATTTAGCCTATACACACACACAACTGATTTGGCAGATTATGTACAGCACAATGTTAGGTTTAGCCTAAATAAACAAGTCGACAGAGACATTTTGTGTCATCCCCACCAAGGAAAAGAACATCTGATATACAAACCATTCCCTTTCAGAGAACATACAGGCAGTTCTCTCTCACTGTCTTTTAGACCTCTTCTGCATAAACAAGGAAACGGTTAAGTTATGTAAATATATGCAAAAACAGAAACAGACTGAGAATCCTTCATAGCCTGAAACCACATACTTCCCCCTGATTATGCATATCAACAGTTCCTCAAACATGTGACGTTTTATAGTCAGCACAGCTTACGAAACATCTGAAATGTCAGTGTCTTCACACTGCCTTCTGTCTGACCCCACACTAACAGAAAAACCTCTATGACTCTCCAACTAAGGCACAAACCTTGCCCTATGATATGGAATATCACACTGTGAATAATGAGGAACACCCGCGTGAAGCCGTTAGCGCTGGATAGCTTGCGCTGGTTTGCCCAGAAAAGGACAGCGGATGAAATGGGGGCTTGTGCTCTCATAAAGAGCCCACTGTGCCTGGCCACGCTGTATGGCAGATGTGTAACTAGCCTTTAGCATTAACATTTTGAGCATGGCCTATGCAGTGGCTTGTGCTGTTTGATGCCTCTGCCAGGCATTGACGGGGTGGATGCTGCAGCTTAGTCTGTTCATTCAGAATGCAGAATGCTGCAAAAGGGCAGATGGGCTTTGTGGAGCTGTGGACTTTGCTGTTGAGGAAAAACTAAGTTCTCACAGATGTTCAATGACGTCAAATAGGGAATGCAACTTGCTACTTGTAACTCAATGAAATGTGAGACGCTTTCAATATGGGAGTAAACGAGGGCTGCAAAAACACTGGTAATAATAAAAAACATAGAATCAAAAGAAAAAAGAGCTCAAGGTAGTTATTCACAAGTGGAATGTTTCTTCACCTCCGAAAGTTGCTGTTTTTCAACGTCATAAGCCCTAACTCAAATCAATCCTTTTTAACTTAACATATCGCAATGATGTGTGCTTAGTGTTAGTGGTGACCGCAGCTTTTAGTGCAAACAACTTAACAGCTAATGAGAACAAAGGAAGTGAGAATAATCCCTGCAACTCGTTCCCTGGTTGTTAAATCAATTCCAAACACTTATTGTTTTAGACATAACATTTTATACATGAATCCTTGCTTTTGTTTCAAGTCTTAAGAAAGCTATGCCGAGATGTCTCGGGCCATAGGTGTCAATATAAGGGCAACACTTTTCTTTAATATAGTGGATATTTCACTTTGCAATAAATGACTTATTTCCACCCAGATATAGAGAGTAAAACTAGACTGTTCAAATACTGCAGGTTATCTTAATTGACGCTCTTCTTCAACACCCACCTCTATTTGCCTCAGGGTCCTTTTAATCATGCTAGCTCTTTAACTTATGTCCCGAGATGTGTGCTGTGTAGACGTGTGCACCAGGTGTTGTTCCTGATAATGCACTCCCCTGCAGATACGACTGTTACCGTAGCCTGCAGCTTGCTTCCCATTAGGATTCCTCCTCAAAGGGTTACATGCAGGCAACATCCTCAAGAATCCAGTTCTGTTCCAAAGCAGGAAATAATGACTGGGCTACATCAGAATGACGGTGGAATTTGTGCTAGATTAGCTTAGAATGCATGCCGGGACATGAGAGCAGCCACTGCTATCATTTGATAGTGTTCAGAAGCCAAATGGGGTCTGGTGTCATTCCATTATGAGGAGGATTAGCTGGTCGCTTTTTAATTAGCAAAAGGGGAATGACAAAACACCTGCATATATTTGAGCAACTTAGCAAGATGACAGGAAAATGCTGAAAACATTGTAGTACTTGTTTTCCTACTTGCAGTAAGATGCTTTCTGGCTCTATTCAGTCAACATGTGTGTATTCGACTAACGTATAGTATAACGTTATCATGATGTGTTAATGTTTAATTTATTCAAGTTGACAGTAATAAGAAAGAGCAAAGCAATATATAATACATTTTTGGGAGGGACCTGTAAAACCTGCTTTTGTGGCCACATGTGTTTGGCTCCGAAGTCCATAGCAGACATCTTCTCCTTTGATATTCCAGTCCTATAAAGAGGAAGCTAAAGCAGATTTCCATTGGCGTGAAAAACTGTTTGTCTTTTTGTTTGGTTTTTCAGATTACAAATGCAGATAAATGATTTCCTCTCACGCATTTTCAGAACTCAAAATGCCTCTCTGTGGTCAGCTTGCCATCACCTGTAGTTTTTGTGTTGTGTTTAAAGTGCAATCTTTAACAAAAACTGCGAGGAGAGGCAAACTATTTGATCAGTCTGCCTTTGTCGGTTGTAGTTCTTTGAGGTCTGCGTGGTTTGTCGGGGCCCTAATCTTCATACAGACATTCTCTGTGTTCTGAAACCACAGGGCCTAGGGCACACAGACCTAGCCCGGAACAGTGATTAGCATATGTATGGGCCCTCTGCTCCTCAACTCCCACACAAAAGGCAGGCGAGCCGTGCAGCCACGAGGGCCAGGTGGTAAGCAGTGGGATTTCTCCTCGACTCAGCCGTGGCCTGGGGGACAGGTGCAAACAACTTCACCTCCATGCAAGGCTACATAACGGCTCAAAGGAGAGGTTGTCTTGAACTTGAGCAATGACCAACAAAAGAGGCCAGGGACCTTTTGTGAGCTGCTCTCTGCTGCTGCTGCTGCTGCTGTCGTCGTCTTATAGAAAGAGTTTTGCCCAGGCATAGCTTTCTAACAGGAAGTGGTCTCTCACTATCCTTGGGGGAGTTTAATCGCATAAGGATTGTCAAGTGTGTCACACTCCCCCACATCATTACAACATGGCTAAATGTTTTCACAACTCATATTTCCACAGCTCTGACAGATATAAACCTCTTAAACTTAGTTTTCGTTCAGGTCCGCCTTCAATCAGGTCTTTGCTGATAAGGCTGGAAAAAAAATGTTCAAATGTCACAATGTGGCAAAAAAAAGGGTCTACAAAATCCCTGGCCAAATGTTGATTCTGCAATAACCTTTTTCAAGGCCTGATAATTATGGAATAGATTCTCCATACTTGTCCTGTGTTTGCAGTAGTGCACAGGAACCCTGTAATAAGAGGTATTTACTCTGCATGCATGCATGCATGCAGCCACTTCAAGAGATCTTTTAGGCCCTCACACCACTTCCTCAGCCAACACACAAAGACATGTGAGGCAGATGACGGGTTAAAAGGAATGAAGCCCATGTAAATTAGGCTTGTCGGGGCTTCATTCAGACACATGAAAGGCTTCTTTAAGCAAAGAGGGTGCAGCCCTTGTCATGATCATGCATAGTCAATATTCGTTCATGACAGAAACCCACCAGACACCAACACCCGTCAACAAGTGTACTTTTAGAGAAAAACTACATTGAGGCAGTCAACAGGGCAAGATTAGTGAGCTGCTTTCCAGGAATACTGTGGCGATGTGAATTAGGAAAACCATGTTTATTCCTTATGAAGTATTAGCATTTATTAAAAAGGTAGTGCTTTGAGGACATTTCAGTTACTGCAAAGTCCACCAGATAATCAAAACCTTTGTCCACATTGTTTAAATACGTCTCCTTGACCTAGCACTGAAACAGAAACAAACAGTTACATTGAAGTCTTAACTGCCATTCTTTTTTAGCGAGAAATGAAAAGTGAATGTGGAATTTGGGGACTTACCAGACACTGTGGACAAGCTGTGAGCCATATGGCCCTATTCAGATACGTTAAGGTATTCTTTCTGTCAAACTAAGATCATTCATTGCAAACCATATTTGGTAAAACACTTCAAACATGCTTTACTCAAAACCAAAATTACAATATGATGATTCACCAATCGTCGTGCATCAGACATCACATCAACAATTCAAAGATGACGGTGGTGATGGTGATGGTTCCATGATGACTACATGTGACCTTTTAGTGATGTAGCGCTTCTTCCCTTTGTCTGTGATTTCTTCAATCTGGAACCACGGATGCAGGAGTCACTTGGCACGCTCCTTAATATTAACATTATACATTTGCTATCCAAGGCTACAGCAGCTAAGACTCATGGATGCTACTGCTTAGAGGCACCCATGATATTCAGATAACATTTGAAAAAAGTTGAGGCTACTATGATACACCAGGATTATTACATTATCTTTGGGAGTCCTATATTTCTATGTTTAATAGCATTAACATATAAAACATTTGTATGTACCTGTGTGGCTTTGTCTTTCATACAGGAGGGGTAGGGTCCGTGGGAGTCTCGAGGCCACTGGCCGGTGAGGTACGGCCCAGTGATGGCGTCCAGTGAAGATGTCCGCCTGATGGCACTGGAGCTTCGAACCTGTAACTTGGACCTTTCTGCTGTGAAAAGAACAAAGTGATGGGGTGAAACACAAGCACCCACGCAGGCATCAGCAGCACCAAGAAAGACACACTCCCAGAGGCATCAACATACAGTGTGATCAATCTCTCAGTGCAAATAATTAGCCAAGGACTCGGGGCCATACAAGTATAATGGTTTACATTGTTGGCAGATAATCATGTTAAACCTGAAACAAAACACAATGACATCATCAAAGTCCTACTGACAAAATGTGTTTTTTGTACTTGGCCTAGATTCTTTGCCTGTGGTAAAGTTCTAGCACAAACGGGATTGTGTGTAAATGTTTACTTTGCAAAAATAGAAATATATTTCACAGAAAGAAATATTACAAAAATGAAGACGATATCTCCAAAAACCCAATAGAGTATAATCAACACTTCACCTTGAATACTGCAATGTACAGTTAATAATGGAGATAAAACCGTATACTGCAAACTCTTCTTGTTCTCAAGGTGTGGACAATTGTTTCTAATCTCTTAAGTATTAGTTGAGGGCAAACACCATGTTTTGAGAGCTAAGGCCTGAAGCAAATGTAAATGGCTGAGCAGGAGCATCTGATGTTATGAGAGCAGTCTGCTGTGAGCCAGAACAGTTAACCACACACCACCCACATAAGAACTCATAAACAACCACACCACAATGCATATCAAACCTGCCTGCATCCACTCAACATTCCTGCAGTGACACGCACAAAAAAAACAAAAAAAGAGAGAAACAAAATACGCAATGCCAAAGGTTGAATAGCATGATAGTGCAGTAACAGTTGGATTAAATGCAATAGCCTCAATTACACTTTGTGTGATTCCCAGAAACAAATTCTCCTTCATTTCCGTATCAAAGACAGACAAAAAAGAGATAGCGCCATGATTTTGAGGAAACATTGACTCCATTCCCTGTCTGAGTAGGTTTAAGCAGAGGCCCTTCCAACGTGAACACACAGACTAACACACACAGACTAAACTATCTACATGAGGCACCCCTCTCCTTGCAGTACTACATAGGCATCATTGTTGTTCTTTGTTCACAGAATACACGGGGCCTACCCACCCAAAGGTATTGCCTAAGTAAGCTTACTGGGCTACAGTAAAATTCCCTGAAGCATTGTAGACAAAGGAAGCAGGCTAAATGTCCATCAATATTGATACAGGCCAAGCCAGTGCTCTCAGAACCAGGACTGAGGTTATTTTCCATCGTCTCCCCACTTGCCAAAATAGAATAATCTTGTGATGAGAAAAAAGAAACAGTGAGAAAGAAGACATCAAAGCAGTCCATCTGCTGATTTCAGGGGAACATGAGTGGTGTTGCGTGACATTAAAAAGGAATACTTCTGGTTGCATTTGAATAAGAACTTTCCTTAGCCGGGCATTCAGCAAGCTGTGAAAGAGTCCCTGCCTTCAGAGGGGATAAACGGTGGTTTATTAACTGGAGAGCAGAGGCAAATGTGAAAACAAACATGTGGTCCAGATCAGTAAACCATAGCAGAATGGTTTCCTGTAGGTTTTCACAAGTCTGGTTGAAAGGAAAAATGTACAATAGTTTAACTTCATCTTGTGATCACAGTTGTGACAAAAATCACGTTTGGTATCCCAGAAATGCTCAATGAAATTAGAGCAGGATTAAAGGATTTAGGGGTTTGCACTCTCAGGCAGCCCTTCCAGTTAATATATCATTTTAGTTTATCCATTAGCTAAACCTGGTAGGTCTTATATGCAACCTATATTTACATATGGAGATGGTCTTGGACATGTTTTAATTCAGTCGGCCCACCCTCAAGACAGTACAAACTTGGTGAGAAGAGGTGCAAGACGGAAGTCTAAACAATGAATACAGTGTCCCAGTATACTTATACTTAGGGCTGTGCAATTAATCGTATTTTAATCTCGATTACAATTTTGGATTGCAACGATTACGAAAACAACGTAAATCGAAATAAAACGATTTTTTTTTTTTAATATTGTGTTTTCAGTTTAATTATACTTAAAGTTCAGGGTAATCAACTGTTAAAAACATACAACAAACTTATATCGTGATATCAATTATTGACCAAAATAATCGTGATTATGATTTTTGCCATAATCGAGCAGCCCTACTTATACTACAGAAAGGACTAAAACTAGTTATTTGCCATGGTATTAATATTCATCATACTTTTTACTCTTAATATATAGAATACTGATACAAGTGGCATGATTATTGATTCTGTTCATATGTATGATACTGCGCGTTTATTTACAATGCCCTATCACTAAACTATGATTAGAGGACTGTCTTTTTAATTTGTAGCTGTAATACGAACATTGACTGCAATATGAATAGTGATATTAATCTTTCCCATGAACTTATAAAGTTATGAGTTCAGCATCTGTCTCTCAGCTGTTCAGAATGTGGCTAGTGAGCATTGTTAGCAGTTATCAGTCAATGAGTCCAGTGGGTACCTCCCACAACAGGCTATGTATCTCAATGGGCGATGAGGTACATGCTATCAATGCCAACGATTTCAACTTTTACCACCGAGAAGAATCCGAAAACCTAGCATCAAGTTTGAGGTTCAACCAGTTGTTGTGCAGGGTTGGTTGATAAAACAACAGAAAACACAGCACATTTCCACATGTGGTCCTACTCTGCAGTTTGAATGTGTGACAATGAAGCAGGGCTGTTTCAGCACAGCTGGCACTTTGACAGAGAGCAGGACTATCATTGTTGGGACAGTGAATGATGACATGCTGGTGAACCTAAAAAGTCATGATATGGAATATTATACTAGGGGTATGCAAACAACATGTACAACAGCATGTCAATGATATATGTTTTGTATTAGCCATGTAGAAAAGCTTAAAAGAAAAGTTTCCTTTTTCCTGAATGTTGGCAAAAATCTCAATATGTTGTGTATGTAGGTCACTTTCTGGCGCTAACATTAATGATAGTGCACGGCATTTTGGACCCACCAAATGGCAAGCATTATGTCTTTGGGTGGGTCCAAAATACTACAACGAATGATATATTACAAAGCGCAAATCCTCCAACTTCGTTTCCAAGCTGGCATGAAGTGATGAAAGATGTTAATGACTAAATCGTGTTTGCAATTTTTGAATGCTAGTAGCCACCAAACCCACACTGATATGATCATAGTCCTCATCAGAGGCCTCTCTTGCATGTTTGTACTGTGAGGACACGGCAATGAAGCTGGGTCAAGTCTCCATCATCACCACTAACATGAGACACTGGTCTGGGTGAGAGGTCGTCCTTTCAGAGGATTGAGGTATGCGTGGCATGCCACTGGGGTGGGAAATCAACACCAACCACTAGGCAAACACGGGTGAAATGTGTCGTGCCTGGTAGGTCTACCCACTCAGTTGTTATGGAATAGACTTCCTTTCCTGCCTTGCATGGTACACTGGTCAAGGTTGGAGGTCATCTCTTTCAAAGAACTGAGGAATGTGAAGCATGTCACAAACATACAATTCCAAATTAAACACTATCCTGTATGATACAAGAGGGCAGCACTTTTGGCAAAGAGGTAAAAGGGAGAAACATTTAAACATGACTAATGAAGCTTCGATCAAGCTGGTGCAATGTAGCTGTCTCGTGGTGTGTTGCAATATGGGACCTAAACTAACTAAGTACAGAACACTCTTGTGCCGAGTATATATCTGGTGCTTTTCATGGGAACTGGTGTGGAGTCCGACATGCCCACTCATGTTTTCAGTCCTAAAAAGGAATATCTTCTTATCTCAAAATACTGAAAAACAAGCTGTGTATTCTTTGATGAAGAAATGTAGTTCTGGCCTTCAAGAAGATACCGCTACCGGTCTGTAAATTAAGCTACAGCTTCAATATATGGCAAAAAAAGGCTGTCCCATAAAGGAGATTTAGTGGAAGACTGTGAAATGCAGATACAAGGCTGCCTGGACTCTCGTGTCCTTCTTCAGTTTGTCTCTATCCAAAAAGCAGCTAAGCATGACATGACACGACATAGCACAGACCTCTGTTATCCACGTGGAAGAGAACATGGTGAGGCTCAACAGATGTTCTGAATGTGCCATGAGTGCTCCATGCTGCATCAATGGCGTGAGGTCAAAAAAAGCAACACCTGACTTTTCACTCAGCGCTCTGACTACTGGGACTGACGTGGCCCCTTTATACAACTGAAAGCATGTCTTTCTGCCAATTCTCTCCTCCCCCTCTGTCCTGTCAAAAGTCCATGGGAAATAAGAGAGCCAAAAGTGCAATCTATTCTCTTTATGATTGTCAAATTGTGTAAGTGGATGATAGGCTGAATAGTTAATGAATCAACCTTCTGCAAATCAAGAGACTATCATGCTCCAGACTTACCCCTTCAAATATAATAGTTTACCTTATTCTCTATTGAAATATTCTAATGAAAATTCAGATCGATATCTTCGTCACAGGAAAGTTACTATGACAAGTTATAACTTGCAAACAGCACATGGTGACATGGCATTTACTGGCCTTTGTAGGATAAAATAGCAAAAGAAAATAGATTTTACCTCTGGAAACCGGAGAGTCTGGAGGACATGAGGAGTCCTTATTTTCGGGGGACAGTCTTTGCTTAGCATTTGCACTTCCCGAAATGAGTGAGGGACTGGAAGGGGGACTGGAGCCTCGGCTGTTCGTGGTTCCACCGTAAAGGGTCTGCGACCCCCGCGTGGGGCTGCTCGGACCCCCGCGCAGGAGCTGGTAGGGCACGGTGGCTCGGATGGGGTGCAAACGGCAGCTGCTGCTGTTGTTGTTGAAGGAGCCGGGGGAGCCCGCATTGCTGCGTCTTACCCTCGGCTGCTGGAGCGAGTTGCTGGGGGCTGACATCCTTCGAAACTGGCTGTAATTCCTATCACAGGAAGAAAGACGTACTGCCAAAGTTGCTGCTTCTCTGGAGGAGGAGGTGGTGGTGGGGGAACGGTAAGATAAACATTAGCTAGTTAGCAAAAAAAAACGTTAGCTTCCTTTTTTTAAGTCAACTCATGCGCTCAAAAGGACAAAAACTCGCAATTGTTGGTGATAACTTACCTGTAAGATACTAACACATGACGATGTAAGCTCTAACAACTACAATAGTAACTTTAAAAGTTGTTTATGATACTTCTTGAGACGTTTAATTCTTGTTTTCAAGCTCTCTTCCTCATCATGTCCACTCTCTAAATGACAGTTGTTACGGCCAGACTACTGGCTGTTGCCTGTGGGCGGGCTACGCTACTCATTTCTGAGCTTCTCATTGGATAGTGACGATGTACAGTAACTTCGCTGATTGGTGCCAGTATGTCTATGGATCGTACTTTCATCCAATCAGGTAAGAAATGTCTTACTAGTGTGGAAAGTTTTTTTTGTTAAGGAGATTGAGATGTGAAAGATATCCTTTAATTTTACTCTTTACCATTGCACCAGTGTATTATTTTTTTACAAAGTAGAGAAACGGCCTTATTTGAGAAGTATTTTGTTGCTCGTCATTGTAAAAAATACAGTTGAGGATGCCTATTGTATATGATCTGTACCTTTTAATCATAATTACAATATAATAATTCAGCAGATGGTATTACAAATGTAAATGTTCAAATTATTTTGTTTTCTATTGAACACTACTAACTTCAGTGATTCACACTATATATGATAAATAAATATATGAATGATAAACATGTATTTATTACAGCATTGTATACAGTTTACAGACATCGTTTGACCTGTAGAATCCATGCAGTACAATGTTCTTTCATAAATACTTATATATGTATTTGCTTATCTTTGATAAGCCTGTGTAAGCTTGATCAAACAAGACCACCAAGGTTGATTTTAATTATATTGATCAACTTTTTTTTTTAAGGTCAAGAGTGAATTTCATTGTAATATCATCCAATATGGAGCATTTTTTCCGCATACGCCACCTGCTGAGAAACATAATGATGAGACTTAAAGCTCTGCAACATCTACTAATGAACCTTGAGGTAAGATTGCGTTGATACAAGCTGTTCAAACTCAAGAATGAATTTTCAATCTAATAAGGAGATGTATTATTTGCCTAGTTCCGAGGTCCAAAATCTATTGTTATTCAATGCTGTCCTTCCTTCTGCCTGCACTGGTCTGTGATTCTGTGGGAGTTCCCATGGGAGAATAAGGTGACTCAATGCTTTCAAGCGAAGATAAAGAATGCACATGATAGAAACCCCACGCCATCTGTCTATGAAACTGATAATGTAAAAATAAACCATGGAAAACAACCCAATCAGCAGTGCTCCGATTTGTCAGTCGGAATTTATTTAAAAGAAACACTGAAAGGGTGAAATTCCAGCCACCCTGTTTTTTGGGACGCAACACGGCTCGCCAATTTGTCAGCTACACTCCAAAATAGTTCACAAAAGGGCACGCAGGCCTATAAAACCTCCCACACCGGGAAAAGATCCTGGGGAAAGCAGTATACAGTAGCTCCTGTGCACCCTCCTCCTCCTCCTCCATGACTAAGTGATTTAGCCAGGTCTGGTGCAGGCCGCCTCTCACTAACAATGCCTCCCTACGTTAGTGACAGAGCGGGGAGGGTGGCAGAGAAAGAGAGTAAACCCATTTACAATGCGGCTTACACACGGCCGTCCCCCCACAGACGGCACCCATCCTTGGATTGATGTGTGGTGTGCATAGTTTTTGGGTGCAATTTGGGCACCACAGAGGGAGAAAGAAAGAGAGGGCAAGTCTGTGTATGTCGAAGGCTGTACGAGGGGGGGGTCCAGGGCTCAGGCTGTCTGTTCTCTCGCTCTTTCTTTGAGTCAATAGTGTTCCGGCAGCTGAGGTTCTTTATGGGGGGAACAATCTGGAGGGTCTTGTTAGAGTGCCGAGCAGCTGCTGTTTTCTGGCGAGCTTCTTTCATGGACCACAGGCCTGGAGTCTGCTGATGAATACAGACGCACCCTCCCACCCTTCCTCCTCATCACCCTTCACCCCCTACCTTATCCCATTCCCCATCCTATACCCCATAACCACCCCTCACACTGGAAGCCATCCCGCACAATGCCAGATGAAGAGTGGCACAGAAGAACATAAAGAGAGTGTGGCTCCGGCCCCCGGGGGACCGCCCTTCACCCCGGACAATGCTTTCATGAAGTATGTGAAGATACTTTCTTAAGACAAATACAGACGTTAGAAAGTGTATTAAAACACGAGAAAATTAAATATATCTTGGACATCTTGGCACCTTTGAGCACATCTTTACAAGCTGAAATGTGATTTATTTTACTAGATGACACTAAACCATAACACGCACACACACTGCCTCCCTTCTTCATATAGGGCTCAGTTACAACATTACATTCACTAGACTATAACTTAACAGCGTCCCATTCTATTTAAGCAGCTGCTGCAGAAAAGGACCCTGCTTGCACCCTTCGTCCCTTGCCCAGTTGTCGGTGTGGTGGGTGTAGCAGTAAACCCACGCTGGTTGGCTTTGGGCGGGTGTTGGACTTCACTTTCCGACAAGCTTCTCCTGTTTAGCTGCTGTCTGAAGGCACCAGGTTCCCTGTGGTGTCCAGCTGCATGCATTTACACGTGCAACCAGACACTGGGCACTCTGTATGGTCTCTGTAAAAGACACATTAAGGTCAATAAAAAAAGTGTAAATACAGAAGATGGCCAAAAGAGTACAGAAGGGCCTGGCAGGTAAGTGTACCTTTCATTCATCCATTTATTTGAATTCTGATATGACCATTTAAAATAATAAATCAGGCAATCTTTTAATTTAGCAGGATCCACACATGGACCTAACATTACAATTACTTTTAAAGTTAGGTGGTAATTTAGAACAGAAGTGATTTTATATCGAATTGCTTTGCCTTCCATAACAGTCACAGAGAGAATACATTATTTTAAAGAGAACGATGAAAGTGCTACAGAACCGAAAGAGCAACGAATAGCTTTTATCTTTTTTATTTACTAATGTAATGTATAGTTTGCTAATGGACAAAAGGTACACGGAACATAGCAGGAAACAAGTTCACAATCCTGTCTGAAAAAAGCCACACATCTGCAGTCTGCAGAGAGAGCTTACTTGAACCAGCTGAGCATGTGTCCTGCGTGGCCGCCATGACGACAGTTGTGACACCAGGTGAACCAGTTGTTGAACTGAGCGAGTTTGTTTTCCCTTGTCAAGTCCAACCGCTCGTCTGACTTCCCTGTTCCTGCCAGAAAAAGATATTCATCTACAAGTCAATATCAACAATCTATAAACTGTACTATCTATGTCAACGTAGTGTTCTGTCTGCTGCCGTCTGGCAGGCGGTACCGCAGCATCCGCGCAAAAACCACCAGACTCGGGGACAGTTTCATCCCACAAGCCATAAGACTGCTGAACACCTGAGCTCTGCTAAGTGCCCTGATAAACATTTATGTTGTCATCTTGCAATATACTAATTTATATAAATAGTTATCACCGCAATGAACTATATTTAATTTTGTCTTAATTTACATTATTTAATTTCATATTCTGTTCTTGCACATATCCCATATTCTATTGACATGTATAAAAAAGTGTAACTATAGAAGATGGCCACAGAAGTATTTTGTATTTTATTATATATGTTGCATTGTTGGAAGAACTCTGGTCAGAAAAATTGTTTTGCTATTTCTATACTGTAGCTTTGTGCAATAAAACTTTTGAATTTGGATTAGTATGAGTAAAAGCAAAATAAATAAATAAATAGGAACTGGATTGGCCACTGAACCTCCAGGTGCTACTGCCTCTTAATGCTGAACAAAGTCCACACAATCTCCCCTGCAAATGCTCAGTTAAGTATTATAAACACTTCAGCTGCTCCAAGAGGCCTGCCTGTAAGTATCAACGGAGCATCTGTCCACATAGGTCAGTTTACCTGGGCAGTTAGAGACAGGTGTGCCCATGTTCATGAGGCAGAGGGCACAGCGTGGCAGCGGTTTCCTGCAACCGGGGCAACTGGTGACTTTTGACTTGGTGGGCGAGCCGCTGACCCCGTACTGGCTGAATCCGCGGCCCTGATGAGGCATCGCCGAGCAGCTGTAGGAAATAGACTTGCCACAAAAGTTGCAGCTCACGAACACCTGTCGCACAAGAACAAACACAAAGGTCGGTTGATAAGGAACGGCGGACACGATGGTAAAATCAACAAGCTCACGCTCACCAGCTGTCTGGTTTTCACTTTGAGGTGAGAGGAAGATAAGCATTAGATAATACTGCAATAATCCGAAAATGCTAAACTGTGAATATTGGAATGTCATAATAGTGTAGTTAGTAGGTTGTGCTAAGGTTCGCTTTGTACTCAGAATCGCACGTAGAAATATTTTGTGCAGTATGTGTATTAACTGGAACAGAGAGAATAACTAAGATTGTTGTGCTAAATAGAACAGGTTTTAGGACAAGAAGTGGAGAGGAGAGAGTGGGTGTTACAAGCTAGGCACGACTTACCTTTGCTGTAATAAACAGTACAAGCGTCCTATTTCATCATGAGGGGAGTAATATCCAAGACAGTAAAAAAAACAGGACAGACGGCTTGTGTTTGCCAGGGCCCGATCACATTAAAGTCAAACATGCATTTTCAAAAATGTTATCAAATCTATCAAGTAACGTATTATAATTGAAATGATGAAATACAAAAATATATTGCTGCATCTTTTGGTAAAAAAAAATCTGATATTGTTTATCTTGAAACGGCCCGAAATAGTGAATATTGCTCTGGAAGAGTTTCAAGAGCCAAAGGAATGCTTTAAAAATTCCTTTCAACCTTCATTCACTTTCACTTAAATGTGGGGTAGGTAGTTCACTTCAGAAACACTTTTTGTTATATTCCATGGAATGCTCTTAACATCCCGATAGCAATGAATACATTAAATGCTTTGACAATGAATACATCAAAAAATGTCATCTGTGGAAGCCGTAGTACTGTAAAAAGCACGAACTATTATTTTCACCGGCCCGGCTAAAGTAACTGGATGGCCTACCTGCCTGTCAGCCTTCCATCTGTGCACAAACTTATCTCATGCCCTCATTGGTCATGTGTCATGTGTTGGAGGAGGGGCTCTGTAAGGAAGTCTGAAGGAAGGGGCAGATTTTTTTCCGCTGCGTACTTTCAAATTCTAGCGCACTCGAGCGGGTTTCTCCATTCTTACCTACCCTACCTTTAAATACATTCAACCAGCAATGACATAAAACAAATCCTCACACTATAGAAAGCCTTCTTGGTTGATACATTTCTCTAATGAATGATCCATTTTTTTTTATTTGTTGTCAGTGGATTTCATATCAGCCCCACAGTTAATAAATATATTTGTATTATACAATAATAAAGAAATCTTCCCCAGATGTGTGTTACCTGGGCCAGTGGTTTGGAGCTGGGGTCCAGTTTGCCTCTATGGATGTCAAACTCGGCCCGTTTGTGCCAGAATCGCCACGCATCCAACAGGTTGCGGTAGTTTTCGATCCAGCATTGGACTCGGGGGTCTTTCAACACTTCACCTGGAGAACCCTGTTGGAAGAAACCTTATCTCAGCCTTATTTCACACTCCCACCTTAGTTTACACAAGGCACAGCAAAGTACATCCCTAATACAAATAGACAATGTGTCCTGGGACAAAATAACTTCTAAGTTTACTCTTGCTGCACCCATCACTCTGGAGGAATGTGTACATGTATGTCAGGTAAATGCAATTACTAAAAAGGTGCTGGTGGATGCCTTGTACACTGCAATTTTCTTTTGGAGCAGGTTAGAACAAGAAAGTAAAGCAAACATTGAGTAGTTCTCCAGAATTTTAAATAAGATATAGACCTGTTCCACCACTCCTTTTATTACGTTTTCTTTCTAGAAACCAATGCAAGAGAGCTAACAACTCCAATGAGGCTTGCATAACATGTTATTAGTTTGGGCAATTGTGTTTAGAATAACAGCTGTGACCTTTTAGAGGCAAGTTTTAGCATATGCTTTGATTTTTCCAAGGGTGTGATCAGACAAAAGCATAGACAGTTTGTGTTTGCAGTTTTGGGGTTAGTTCATTTAAGTTACTAATGATTAAACCGTTTATTTGTGGGTCTCTTATTGTCGTGTGATGGGAATGTTCTGTGTGCTTAACCAATAAGAATCAAGCTTGCATGGCAATTAAAAAACTATAATTTAATCTAAAAGAACATCAGTGACAATTACAGACATCACTAAATGTATTAAAGTAAAACAAATCAACCTGTGCAGGGATGATACACTCATTTAAATTTGAGATGGGAGGCAATATACTTAGGCAGTTTATGTAGGAGACTTTTATCAGTGTTGCTATAGGGGTTATTTCAAGTGGATTATATTACATACCTGGAGGGTCTGTAAGATTTCCCCAGGCACAAAACAAGCCTGTTTGGCATCAGTATGCACCCCTCTCTTCACATATACTACTTTTCATAACTTCTGTGTGTACCTTCAGCATGGAGAAGCTGGCGGTCTGAACGTCTCCGGTGAGGTCCACGTAGCTCTCCATGAGGTCCACGCCATCTTTGGTCAGACCCGTCAGCAGGACGCCCTCCAGGTTTCCCGCCTCCTTCATCTCATTGGTTAATTTGTCAATGTATCGAGGCAGCTGCAGCCACAAATGTATCAAGTCAGAGAAGAATGCAACATAATCATGCACTTGTAAAGCAAGTCATCAGGAAATTGTGTAAAGGAATGTGACATACACATTTTGGACATACACAAAATATGCATGATAACTAGGGATGTAACGATATATCGAATATCGCGGTAAATACATGTTTTTTTTATATATATTTTTTTTTTAAACCTGATGGTCCCATTGAGATCATCAATCTCTTTTTCAAGGGAGACCTGTCCAACATGGCAGCAAGTAGGTTACAACATGAACATAAAACAACAGATAACACAAAAGGACATCGTATTTACAGGGCTACATGTACATACCTAGAGACATTGACAAGTACCAACAGTATATTTATATCTCGCCCTGTCAATAAGCCTCACCTTCTTGGACAAAAACTGTATTGTTTTTGAAGTGGTGGAGAGACAATGCACAGTTTNNNNAGTAGCATTAGCAGTGAATACAGTAGTAATTGTGTCAGTAGCATCAGTAGCATTAGCAGTGAATACAGTAGTAATTGTGTCAGTAGCATCAGTAGCATTAACAGTGAATACAGTAGTAATGGTATCAGTTTTATCAGTAGCATTAACAGTGAATACAGTAGTAATGGTATGTTAGTGTTAGTTGTAATAGTATTATTGAGCTCCCCCCCCCCCC